GCAGCAGTATGAGGCGGTGCAGTTCCAGCTGCCGAGCTGGGCGTACCACCTTCCACAGCTGAAGCATGGCGGGGGAAATGAGGGAGAGATGGGAACCACCACAGGGGATGGGAGGTAGGAGTTCTATAGTCTGGAACTGTCTTGAGAGGATAAAAGGATAGGAAAATAAGGGAAAGGGATTTCCTCAGGGTCAGCTCCCTGAAAAGGTGAGACAAGTTCACTTAGTAAAGGGTAGGGGAGGTAGAAGGAACAGCAGGGGGTAACTGGACAGAGTCTACTGGTCTCAAGTCACCATGGCCCCCTGGCCCATGGCTTCAGGCTGCAAATCTAGCCAGGCTCCACTTTTGGCTCTGGCGGAGCTCCTCACATCAGAATGTCAGTAAAGTTCACAATCTTGGCCCCACTATCTGTAAGACAGAGAAATCAATGTGTTACTTCTCCCTTTAAACTATATTAATCTATTCTTTTCAAAGCCAGCCTCAGCAATGGTGACTCGGTGAGACCCTGTCTCTAAAATAAAATACAAATAAGGGCTGGGGATTTGGCTCAGTGATCAAGTGCTCCTGAGTTCGATCCCCAGTACCCCCCCCAAAAAAAAATCCATTCTCCTTACCCTTACCTCATTTCTCTTACCTCCTGTTCACTGGATGATTTACTTTCAAAAAAAGAAAGAAAGAAAGAACGAAAGAAAGAAAGAAAGGAAGGAAAAAAGCTTCTATAAAAGAACACAAGTGGAGCACTATACCTTAGCTTCACAACTTGTAAGGAAATGAATTCTCCCATCTACAAGAAGCCAAACAGCCTAGGAGATTGAAAATGGGCCTTTTCTGAAAGGAGTTCTCAACCCATGACTGAACAGTTGGCCAACGAGCAAAAGTTCTGTTCTTACTGTGAAGAAGGGACTGAAAGTCCCAGAAGTCCCATGCCCCAACGAACTATCAGATAAAAGGAAACTCATGAGTCTGTTAATCTTCTGCATCAATCAAACCCATCATCATAGCCAACAGCACTAACGAACTTGCAATCATATGGACACTATAGTGGGGGAACTCAAAGAGAAAAGAGATGGTGCTAAGCATTCTATTAATCTACTTTTCAAGTTAATTAACTTGGAGACTATGAGACTCTCTTTTCCATTGCTTGTGAAAAATTGCCCACCTCTGGCCCTTTACCTCACCTGTGTCAGAGTAAGAAGAGATAAAAATGGAGCCCCAAAGCAGGCATGTCACTAGAACCTGAGAAAAGCCAGAAAGTTGAGACTAGAATCTCTCTCCCTGTCCTTTCCAATTCTCCTTTCTAACATGGTACTATATCCCCATTCCTGAATAGCTCAGAAGGGTCTCTGAACTAGCCTGGAGAGACATGAAGGGTAGATGCAGTTACAAAAACAGAACAAACTGGGGCTTGGGTTGTAGCTCAGTGGTAAGGCACTTGCCTAGCTTGCATGAGACACTGGGTTTCATCCAAGCACCACATAAAATAAATAAACGAAATGAAGGTATTGTGTCCATTTACAACTTAAAAAAACCCCAAAAAACAAAAAACAAAACAACAACAAAAAAACAATAAACAAACAACCAAAAAATCTGAATGGGAGATAAGAGAGCAACAGGAGGTTAAGTCATAATATGGCAATGAAAATGAGCAAGGGCAGCATGATCTGAAAACACAGTTTCAAGGAGATATAATTTGGGGGACTTCTTATCAGATTGCTTCTGGAAGCTTTACAGTCACTCTCTTCACCTTCACCACTCCCAGTAAAGCTATTGGCTAGTAATCCCTCTCTATCATCCATTCCAATTCATACATCCCAGAGGTGAATAGAGACAGAGTCCTTCAGAATTGAGAGAGCTGTTTATAAAGAGTTCAGCTTTGGGGCTGGGGTTGTGGCTCAGTGGTAGAGCACTTGCATAGCATGTGTGAGGCACTGGGTTCAATTCTCAGCACCGCATATAAATAAATAAATAAAGGTCCATTGACAACTGAAAAAATATTAAAAAAAGAAAAAAGAGTTCAGCTTTGGCCTGGGTAAAACTAATAAAGAGAGCTGGGAGGGAGGAGAAAAACTGTGATGGGGGACTAGGGATGTAGAACAGTGGCAAAATGTGTTTGGCATGATAAGGCCCTAGGTTAAATCTCTTTTTTTTTTTTTTTTAATATTTATTTTTCAGTTCTCGGCGGACACAACATCTTTGTTGGTATGTGGTGCTGAGGATCGAACCCGGGCCGCACGCATGCCAGGTGAGTGCGCTACCGCTTGAGCCACATTCCCAGCCCTAGGTTAAATATCTGGTACCAAAAAAGAATTAAAAAAAGGTCATGGAGGGCTGGGGTTGTGGCTCAGCGGTACAGCATTTGCCTCGTACATGCGAAGCCCTGGTTCAATTCTCAGCACCATATAAAACAAAATAAAACAAAACAAAACAAAATTTTAAAAAAGGTCATGGAAAGGGGTGAATCCTAAGAATCAGAGAAATTCTTAGGGAAAACAGTAGTGAATAGAAGTCATTGGGGGCAAGTTGATGTTAATAACACATGTTAATAACAGTTTATTTATTTATTTATTTTTGTAGTATGGAGATTGAACCCAGGGCCCAATGCATGTTAGACAAGCACTCTACCACTGAGCTATATCCCCAACCCTTTTTTGAGACATGGTTTCACTAAGTTGCTGAGGCTGGACTCAAACTTGTGATCCCTCCTGCCTCAGCCTTCTGAGTAGCTGGGATTTCAGGCACATGTCATCATGCTCAGCTCAGTTAATATCTGTTGCAAGCTTACTACCTGCCAGAGATTTTCCTGAGAGTTTTACCTATACAGATAGTCCCCAAACTAGAATGTTTCAATTTGCAATGATGTACAAATGACAAGCATTCAGTATAAACATAATCTGACTTTTGGGATTGTTTTGTTATGRTCCTGGGGAATGAACCTGGGGTCTCATGCATCCCCAGCCCAAAGAATTTTGAATTTGGATCCTTTCCTGGGCTGGTGGATATGGAGTACAATACTCTTTTTTAATGCTACATAGGGGCAGTGGCAGTGACCAGTTCTCATACAGCCATGTAATCAGAAGGTTAAACAAATGATACTTTACAGTATACTGTACTGCTAAGCTATGATGGATGATCTGTAGGTTTGGTGTATTAAACGCATTTTTGATGTAGGTATCTTCAACTTAAGATGAGTTTTTCAGGATGTAACCTCATGGAAAATTTAGGAGCATCTGTAGTTAATACTCACACCAGCCCTAAGAAGGAGGGAAGAAGTAAATAATATTATTTCCATTTTACATGACTAATTTGAAGCCCAGAGAAGCTTAGTAACCTGCCCAGGACCTAACAGCTGTCAGTGGAGAAACTGGGATTCAGTCAGGCATGTCAAGTTTCAGAGCCCATGCGGTTAACCACTGCATTTTTAGCTTCATGACTGGAAGAAGCACTAATATTTGGGGAAGAAGTGACGAGAGACCTACTAGGGTGAGGCAATAAACACTGGAAGAAGAACATGGGGGAGATGTGTGTGTAGCAATAGGCTTCTGAGGAGGAGAAACCAAGGGGTCATCAGGTCCCAACACTAACAGGCCCGGGAAGCCTTGGGGGTGTGGGCCCTGTCCCGGGAGACAAGCAGAGCAGATGCTGTGGAGGAAAGGGAACCGAATGGGTTCCGAGGCTCACGGAGGGGGGACCCTGTTGGGGGGAATACGGGGTGGAGATGAGGGCACGGATAGGGGGGGCATTAAGGGGAAGGGGAGCATTAATAGGAGAGGGCACAAGGGTCGCGCCGAGGCAACGCGGGGGTGACATCGAGGCAGGTACTGGGCTGGAAGAGCCCGAGGGGACGGACCCCTGTACTGGAGGTGGGGGGCGACCTGAGGCGAAGAAGGCAACTTCGAGGAAAGATAGTGGAAAGGACTCAGGGCGAGGGGCGAGGAGGGCCGCACTGAAGGGCCGCCCAGGACGACCCAGCGGGTGGTTATGGTGGCAACACTCAAGGGAAGTCTGTGAGGAACTGAGGGTGATCGGGTTGGGGGGGGCACACTCTGAATGTGGGAGGTTGTTCTCCTCAAGGGCGGCTCACCCGGCGGAGTGGGCGGCGTCCCCGCGGTCCCCGGGCTCCGCCGCGTCCCGGGGCTGCCCAGCTTCCCTGCTCTCCGGGCCTCCGGCCGCGTCGCGGCGGCTCCGCCATCTCCGAGCGAACGCTCTACCGCAGCCGGGCTCAACCACCCCTTCCACCTGGGGGAGGCGGCGCGCTGCCTCTTTTCACCCACTCGGGTCGCGACAGCTCCGAGCCTGGCAGTCGCGTGACCGAGGCGTGAGGAACCCAAATAGTCCTCCGGTGCGCTCTGCCCGAGCCGCGGCCTAGGAGTCGCCAGGCTCCGCGCCCAGCCCGCAGAAGCGTACCCCCTACACCCCAAACGGTGGCACAGTCTGGTGAGCGTCGGGCGCCGCGGCTCCAGAGGAGGGGCGGGCCGAGGGTACGGGTCCGTCCACTCAGCCCCGCGGAGGGGGAGCCCGGCCGGCCCACTGAGCAGGGGCGGGGCCAGCCCGCGACTCAGGCGGGGCCCGGAGGCGTGGCGAAACCCGTAGCCCACCTCCCCCATCCCCACCCCTTTTGGTACCAAGGATTGAACCCAGGGGTGCTTAACCACTAAGCTGCATCCCCAACCCTTTTTATTTTGAGTCAAAGTCTCACTAAAGTTGTTTAGGGCCTCACTAAATTGCTGAAGTTGGCCTCGAACTTGGGAACCTCTGGTATTAGGAGCCTCAGAATCGCTAGGATTACAGGCGGGTGCCCCCACATCTTGGTCTTAGCCCACCTCTTAAGGGCCCGCGTCATCTCTGCCACCCCTTAACTCCCCTTAGCAGCCGGGGGCTTATAAGAAAATCCTCTTCTGAAAAGATCCTAAAAGGAAGTGGGAGAAGATACTTCTCTCCATCTAAAGCCTTGTAATGCAGGTTGCTAAAATCTAAGCCCCCTCCAACAGCAATAACACAATGGACTGTTTCGAGGTTATTTTATTAAATATCTTCAGTTCAAGGTTTCATTGTAACAAAGCTATGAAGGGTCTACCAACATTCAGAACAAACACTATTTTTAAATTATTTCTATGTCATGCAAAAATTCTGCATCAAATGCCTTCCATTTCCTGTTTAAAAGATTATTTTAATAGTCTATTGTCTATAGATGCTGACATTAGCCCCAGAAGAGGAGTAAGAATGCTAAGAAGTGGGGCTGGAGCAGCCATATGAAGCTATGGGTCTCAATGAACTCTAAGACCATTTGTCTTCAAGCCAGCAAAACCAAACCCTGTGGTGAAGGTATCTGCAAGCTGGCACTGCAGGCTGCAGGGCAGGGTGGGGGGTAGGGCCCAGGGGCTGGGGCATGCATGAGGCGCTAGAGGAGCCTTGCTAAATCCAAGCATCAGCACCTGTGAGTTTGCTCTCCTCAGCTGGCTCCAAAGTAAACCTGTAGCTTTGTCTCTTTTCCCAGCTCCTGTGCCTCCTGAAGTTAGTCCAGGGAGCTGGAGTCTACCCACCTTTCCCCCAAAAGTGCAGATATTTGTGCAGATAAATATGCACAGTTGTTTTGGGAGAAACCCAAGGCTATGACCAATTGCTCCTCCATTATCTTCTCATATTGGCTTAGGGTAGATCTTTTCCTCCTGGAATGGAACTCCTTGAGCAGAGAGAGACAATGAATGTAGGAGTCTTTGCTCTGGACACCTTTTTTGGGTACATGCAGGTGAGGAGGGGTGATGCCCATGCAGATTGTCCAGCAGTAAGTCTATACTTCAGTTGGTCAGTAGAGGCCTCTTTCAAGAGGACGCTTCTTGCCAGAGCACTCAGGTCAATCTCAAAGACAGGGAAAGAGATGGACGTGCAGCAAGAGAAGAGTAAGAAGGGAGGCAACCCTGAGGGCAGCCTGAATGCATAGAAACAACCACCACCTCTTATCCCATTGCCTCACTCCTCCCATCCCACAGGGGCACTTCACAGAGGGCCCAGGTCCAGATGAGGGTCAGCATGGGGGACCACCACCATGAAAAGGCAAGACAAAGATGGTCCAGAAACAGAACTGCCAAAGGCGACAAAGGGAGCCCTGACCAGGGCCTGGCTCCCTCCTTGCTAAGTTATCAAGAACACAAACACGAAGCAAAGCAGCAAAACCTCCCCTTCCCACCTGCAGGGATTAGGCCTCAATATCAGGGCCCAAGGGCATTGTGCATCCTATAGAAATGGATGAGTAAGTAAGTGCATGTCAGACTAACACGAGGTTTCTCATCAACTTCATAGCAGACATACTTCTGCAGCACCAATTCTCTTCCCTTCTATGCTAAATGAACAGTACAGCAAAGTCCGGGACCTCAGTCCTGAGGCCACTGCTTCTCAGCTGCGTCCACAGCTGGCTGAGAGTTCTGCATTCTCTCTCAAGTAGGTCTAACAGCCATGGTGTTTTCTTCAGCTTCTTTCTAGGTGCTTATGCAGTTTCCGAAGAAGCCCACTCCTAGACCTGGGGTAAGCAGGCCACCTCAGGGGCCATAATCACATCATGGCCCCCAAAGCTCTGTCAGAGTCCTTGCCTGGTCCCCCTGGGTCCGTGGGGGTTCTGAGGCTAAGCTCACCTCTTCAGGACTGGTGGGTGAGCCCAACGTTCATGCCAGGATGGGCATCACACAAACTTCTGTCTTCTTGCAAGCCCAAGGGCTGTAGGTGGTTTTGAAAYGCTTCATGGTACAGATTCCATTTTTTTTTTAAACAATCTTTTTTTTTTTTTTCTTAAATGTAAAAAAACACCTCGGTACAGCAGAGACAGACACGAAGGGCGGGCGGGAGGGCTGCATGCAGGGGCGTGCATTGGCTGCTGCCGCTTTGTAATTTAATTGTTTTAAACCTCAAACGAACAGGACTGCCGCTGTCACTCAGGCCCTCCAGAGCCACTGGCTGCGAAGGTTCGACCTCCAGCTGGAATCTCCTAATCCCCCTGTTAAACAGGACAGAAGGTGGTAATGGAATAGAGGACAATGAGCACACAGATGAGGTCCTAGGGCCTAAGAAAGTTGGGGTGGGGGAGAAGCTAATGTTTAAATATAACACTGTCTCACATTTAAGTTCTTAGTAAGTGCTTTACTTATAGTATTTTATTTATTTAACCCTTACAAAAATTTAAGGAGGTAGGCACCACACTTGTCCTCTCTAACAGCTAAGGAAACTGAGACTTGGGGAGGATAAGTAACTGTGTGCACCTAATTTGGAGTCATAGAAGCAGACTCTAAAAATGAGAGTCCAGAGTGTAACTTATTTCAACCACACTCCCCAGCCTTTGCCCTTCTTCTGGGATGGCCCATACCTCCTTCCCAAGTTTCACCTCCTAGCCTACTCTTCCTTCTTTGACCCCACCTGTCCCAACCCCTCCCTGCCCCTTCTCCCCTACCACAAGCACCTGTGGCTGAAGCTCACTGCAATGGTGCGGCAGGGGCCCCTGAGCAGTGATAGTGGACATTGAGCCACTTGCCATCCCGGCGGTGCCAGACCCGGGTCTCCTCTGACTGGCTGGTACGAGGCCGACCCTGCCCGTCGATGTACTGGGTGAGACGGATGTAGGCGATGCAAGCTGCGTCCTCCCCAATCACGTGGACATGTGGGTTTAGGATGGTGGTATGGATGGGCTTGCTGTTCTTGGACAGGACTGCAGGGGGAAGGGCAGGGTGGGGTAGGTAGGAGCGTGTCAAGCCTGGGCACCAGCATTTTATTCCCTCCCCACACTTCCAAGTCTCACCCTCCCACTAGCAACTGTTCACAGAATCTCCAAGTCCCCCATATACTCTCCAGAGGTCAGGATACCCCATTATATTAGACTCAATTATCCAAAAGAAATAAATGTGGATAACAATATCAATATAGCAGCTATTCTTTTAATCAGGCATTATACTGGAGATTTTATATGCATGAGATGTATTTTTTGTTGATATTTTCTTCATATAAGAAGGAAATAGGCTCATGGAGATTAATCTGTCCAAATCACATATTCAAACTCATATGACTCTAATGGGAGGCTCATATGACTATATGGTCTTTTGACTTTTACTTATTTATTTATTTTTGTAGTGCTGGGGATTGAACCCAGGGCCCTTGTGCATGCCAGGCAAGCACTGTCTCACTAGGCCATATCCCAGCTTCTCTCTACTCTGTTAGGCTGATGTTTAGATTTCGTAAGGTTGGCTTGTTGCTGCTGCAGAGTAAAATCATGAACTGAAAACATTCAAAATAGATTCACAACTTGAAAAGGTACCAAAGTTAAAATAAAATAACCAAAGCACGCAGCTCAGGTTATCCCCAGAGCTCCCAGCATCCTCTTGGGGAAAGGTAAAGGAAGTTGGATTGCCATTATCAGCATAGGCTGTATAACTGTGAGGTTTTTATTGAGATTCATTTTTTAGTTTAATTCCACAGTTACATAGGGGTTGCAGGAGATTCTCCTTAGAACTAATAGGAACTCTGGAATTAGATAGCCAAGGGTTTACATAGGCAGCTGAAATGTGGAGAGGGTGGGAGTCAGTAGAAAAAGCAGCAACAAAATAAAACTTAGGAGAGAATGGAAAATGCCTAGGATAAAGTGGGAAAGAAGAGGAAAAAATAGGAGTAGGGGTGGGGAGTGGTTCTGAGAGTAGAGAGAAATATGGGAGGGTGGTTATGATTCAATTCCTTATCTCCTGGAACTGCTAGGAACTATCCAGTATATATCCCTCCCACCCCCCGCCCAATCCAGGATGTCTGCCTCCCTTAATATTCTGAAGGATTCTAGCCACTACTTCCAATCTCATAAATTTCCACCAATGTCCAGTTACTTGCTTGTACATTCTTATTCTGGTTTTAATTTCCTCTATTATGAAACCTGCAGACACAGAGCTTCATTATTACTTGCTGATATCATCTCAATCTAATCTCAAAGGGTTTGTAATCAGTCTTGAAAAGAGATGAGGCTTAAAGAAATACAGTGACCTTGATGTGGTGACCAGCACTGCCCTGAGGCAGTTGGAGAATGAATGGGTAGTTGGGGTTCTGGAGCAGGGCCTACTAAGGTGCCAGTTTAAGACTACCAGGGCACAAGACTAGCAGAGCACAAGGAGGAAAGCATACAGAATGGGATGCAGCAGGAAGGTCAAATAAAAGGGAAATGAGTAACTAGGATGAGGAGGTGAGCAGGGGACAGAGGCAAAGGGGTGAAGGGGCAGGCAGGAGTATATCAGCAGCACGAACCCACTCACGATTCTCAAAGTAAAACTTATGGAAATCCATCCCCTCCACGAGGTTACCGAGGGCCTCAGGCTCAAATGAAGTGAGACCTGGGTCACAAATCTTCCTGCAGGAGAAAAATAAATAAATAAAGCAAAACCTASCTTGTCAGGCCTCTATGGGATATATGTGTCTTTTTCCTCATAAGTGGTGTGTATCCTGTAGCAGCAGGTTGGTGATGGGCCATGCTTCACAATGCAGCTAAAATCTTTAGGGCCTGCTGCCATGGGCTGGCTCAATCACAGAAAATCTATGTGGAAGGGCTCCCAACCTAAGCACCTGGGGTTCAACTCACACACTATGCCCAAACCTCAGCTGGCCTTTTCTCTGGGATCCCAGTTGCTTTTTGGAAGCAGAGAAGGCCCTGAGAGACATTTCAATGAACAGGTTTCTACTCACGTGTAGGCCTCAAAGTCCCCATTGTTGATGGCTTCAATCAGCTGTTCTGTGATCTTAATGATCTCCTGTTTTCGCACTGTGGGAGTAAAAATCCAACAATTTACAAACTGGACAACCTCCTAAGTAACAGAGAGCCCTCCTCAACCCTTCATGGARTTCCCTGTGATCTTTTTGTCAAAGACATCCCTCTTGTCTGACTGTAAGTTCCTTTGCAGGAGGAGCAAGCTCACCTTTCCTTCCATCCCTTCAGTGGTGTGTGCAAAGCCAATGACCACCTCTTTTCCAAGCCGACCCATTAATTATGGTTCTCTGGCTTTTGTCTCCCTCTCCATCAACAACCAGGTCACAGAAAACACTCTTTTAACAGCTGAGGAGCCTGGAGCACCATGAATGTTCTATGTGGAATCTGTGCATCCCATCTCTAGCAGGTTCAGTCTCTCTGAGAAGCATCTCCCAATATGGCTGTTTCCACCCCCATTTACTTCTTTCACCAGAAGGGGCTCAGTCAGGTCTCAATTACCACCCTTACTCTTAGCCTTCATTCAGTGGCCCAGAACCTAGCCTTGGGCAATAGCCAGCCTGAGAGCAGAATCTAGCGGGATGAGGGCTTCAGGCTGCCAAAGGATGAACAGAACCCTAGGATAGATGCTTCATTCTCTTCACCCTGCTCATCTCCTCCACAGGGCTTCTATGGGATAAAGGATCTTGGAACTGTAAAAACTCTTGACAGCCTCTCACCCAAGAAATGGCTCCATTTACTCCAGACAAGCTTTGGAAAAGCTATAAATCTCAAACCAGCTCTCATGCCAGGATGTGTCCCTCAAGGAAATCAAGAAAAGGCTAAGACCAAAGGCAAGCAGAGTTGGTGCCTTCAGAGCCTCCCTTCCCACCACCCATCCCAAGCCCAGAGAGAGCTGGTGACATCCTGCTCTTCTAGGCAGCTTAGTTACAGGAAACTCTACTATTAGCAGAGGATGCCAGCAGGGAAAGGGAGGACTCAGACTGAGCTGGGGCTAACCCTAACCCAAGGCCTCACTGGCCCAGCCTTTCCTCACAGGAGCAAGAGGCTGCAAGACAAATGCATTAGAACAGCACCAGCATGGCACAGCTGGGCCAGCACAGTCAAGAGGCATAGCTGGGAGGGAGTCGCACAGCCAATGGTGGCCCCACAGTCACTACCACTGGGTAGGCAGCTCTGGGTAAGCAAGCAGCAAGTTCGGGAAACAGCAAGCTCTATTCCCTTTCTAAAGAGGCAAGCAACACACGGCCCCACTCTAACCCAACCAAATCCATCTGGAGGACCTGACTAGGGCCCCTGTGGGTGAAGAGGATTGTGTTTAGAAACTCTACAAGGAAAGACAATGGGAGGAAAAGAAGCAAAGAGAGGCATCACAGACATCAACACAGACAGAACTAAAAACATCAAACGAACTGCCATTAACCTTGCGAGGCATTGTATTAAAACCTTCTACTTTCTCATTTCTTTTTGTAACATTTGAAGTAGATGCCATTTTCTCCCTGCTTTATAGATAAGGAAACCTAAGCTCTGGGAGGCAAAGCTACTTCACACACTTCTGAGAGTAGCATAGCTGGATTTAAACTCGGGTCTGCCWCACCCCAAACCTTGTGCCCTTAATATGACGTTACGCTGAGCTTCAAGAAACACTACGCAACACAGTTCCTCAGCTATTTCAATTTTACCATTGTCCCCCTCCCACGGACCCAATTTCTGACACTGGTCCTCTTCCTGGCTGCTGCCAAGGCAAGGCCCACTGCACACCCCAGTGGCTTTCTACTCCCTCCCTCCATGCCACATTCTTCCACCCATTCTTCTGGTATTTCTTTGGGCCTCAGGCACAGGGCCTCTAACTGGAATAAACAGTGCCTCCAGCTGTTCCCCCACCCCAGGCGCAGGTCTTGCTCCTCAAGCTAAGACAGACAGCTGGGCTGGGCTGACAGCTCTGGAGGGGATCCCTGAGGGACTTCAGGATGAGCCAGGGAGTGGGAAGCCAGAATGTGCCTCCCTCACACTTACTGGCTGAGGAGCTGAGAGAAGGCTGGGGCTGCATGCCTGCAGAGGGGGCTGTTCTGTCCCGGGAGCTCCGTCCTTCAGGCATCGAGCTGCCATTCCCAGTGCGGAGCGGGGCAGCTAGCCAGCCAGGGCAGGGCAGGGCAAGGCAGAGCAGCCAAAACAAACAGAACAAGGCAGGTGAGCGAGCAAGCCAGACAGGACCCAAGCCCATGGCGCAGAGCCGGGGCAAGGTGACGCCTCGGGCTGCTGTGGACACTGGACCACATCCCACTCTTCTGCCTCTGCCAGAGAGGCCCTACCAGGCTGAAGCACTGAAGGTGCACAGACCTGGCCTTGCAGCTTCCAAAGGAGCCTTAAATCGGCCTGTCCTAGGACCACTGCTCCTGGGGAAGACGTTTGAGGGGGCTAGGCCATGAGGTCAAGAGCCCAGCAGCGAAGGTACCTTCTACTCTGCCAGCATGATCAGAACTGAACCGATCTGGCCTGATTCCCAGCAGCCCTGGCGATACTATTCTTTATTGCCTTATTTCTTTCGATTTTTGGAGTTTCCAAAGTTTGGTTTCCCTCATTACCAATAAGCATGCTCTCTCAGCTCCATCTTAACTATATCCTTAGTCTTTTCTGTTGGCCTGGCTGAAGGTCATTTACTGAAGGCAAAGGGAGCAATTCCAAGAGGCCAACCCAAAGAGTAGGGCAGATTCCCATTGGTTTGGCCTGCCAAGCTTCCCACACACCCTGGTACTCTGGCCAATCCCAAGCTTAGGTTGGTGATCCTCACAGGACCTCCAAGACACAGCTGAGTGTGGCTTTACAGACATCAGATCAGTTCTCTTATCATTTGTGGCCAGACCTTGGGACTAGAGTGACCAACTCATCCCTGGGGCCTACGACAATCTTGGCTTTTAAATTTTCTTTCTTTCTTTTTGGTAGCAGGGATTGAACCCAGGACACTTTAACCACTAAGCCACAACCCGAGCCACCCCCCCCCTTTTTTTGTATTTTATTTTGAGAGAGGGTCTGCTAAGTTGCTTAGGGTTTTACTAAGTTGCTGTGGCTGGCTTTGGATTTGCAATCCTCCTGCCTCAGCCTCCCAGTTGCTGGGATTACAGGTGTGTGCCACTGTGCCTAGCTCCCCCCACCCACCCCCGCCATTTTGTGGTGCTGGGGATCCAATCCAGGGCCTTGCATATGCTAGGCAAGTGCTCTGTCACTGAACTACATCCTCAGTCCTTGTCCTGGTTTTGAAACTGAAAGTTCCACATCCTGGGAACTGCCTTGGTCCTGGAAAAACCAGGACAACATTCACCCTACTTTTGCAAGGACCTCAGATGTCCCTATTCTAAGACATCACATCATTTTCAACAGCACAAACAGCTATACTCTGGATTCAGGTATAGCTAATGTAGCCACTGTAGACATGGGTCAAAAAAAGAGTCCTCTTGCCTGGCTCAGCAACCAGACAAGAACCTCATACCTTGGCCCATGGAAAGTGGATTTTATGTCAAGACTTCTCCTGGGGTATAAAGAGCCACTAGTCCCAGTTCTGGGAACAGAAAAGGCAGGTTCCCCATCAGAGCCAAAGTACCTGTGTTATGGCTGGGTTCCCTTCCCCACCAAGGGCCAACACCTACCTTTGAGGTCCTCATCTTCTGTAGTGGTGTTGCAGCTCTCTGTGGAACCCTGTGGACCAAAGAAAAACATGTTTCTATATGCTAAGGCCTCTGGAAGCAGAACATGGGACCAGGAGGAATCACAGAGGCTTCAACCTTTACGCTTGCTTTCTGGCTTACAAAACTCTGGTTTTCCAAATTCCCTTCCCAACCTTCCCAACTCAGTAAATGGTATCATCTACCTAGTCACTTAGGCTAAAACCTGGAGTCATCTTTGATTCTTTCTCTCTCTCTTCTTTATATCCCAGTCAGCTAATATAAAATAAAAATCCATCACTTCTACCTTCAAGATAAATCCCATGTCTTACTTCTTCTCTTTAAATGAACAGCTACAATCTAACATCTGAACCATGATGATGGCTTCTGGGCTTCTGTACTTTCACTCTTGCTATCTCCCTGAGTTCTTGCTCATATGTGGCCACAGTAATCTCTTGAAATGCAACTTAGATTATATTATTCCCCTGCAAAGAACCGCCAACAGCTGGAATAAAACGCAAACCCTACCACGCATCCTATCTGCTTTTCCAAATTCATCACCCTTCTCTGGCCTTTGCTTACCATGATAAGCTCCACTTGAGTCTTCTAGTATGTGTGTCTCTGCAGCTGCAGTCCCTCTGATCCATAGTTATTTAGCCAACTCCTTCCCACTGACATTTAGTTTCTAGCTCAACTATCCCCTCCTGAGAGACCCTTCTTTGACCATATAAAGACCCTGTATACTCTCTCTTTACCTTGTGCCACTTTCTTGGTTTTTTTTTTTTTTTTTGGTACCAGGGATTGAACTCAGGGACACTCAACCACTGAGCCACATACTCAGCCCTATTTTGTATTTTATTTAGAGACAGGGTCTCACTGAGTTGCTAGTGTCTCACTATTGCTGAGGCTGACTTTGAACTCATGATCCTCCTGCCTCAGCCTCCTGAGCCGCTGGAATTACAGGCATGCACCACTGTGCCCAGTTTGTGCCATTTTCTTCAGGGTACTTAGCCCCATTGGATTATATCTTATTTAATTCCCGTTCATCTGCTCCTCCCCCTTCCCCACAGGCAGGACATGTGCTTGTCACCTCTGTAAACCAGAGCTGTGGAAGGTGTTTGAGCTCAATAATTTTTTTTTTTTTTTTTTTTTTTTTAGAAAGAGAGAGAAAGAGAGAGAGAGAGAGAATTTTAATATTTATTTTTTAGTTTTTGGTGGACACAACATCTTTGTTTGTATGTGGTGCTGAGGATCGAACCCGGGCCCACACATGCCAGGCGAGCGCGCTACCGCTTGAGCCACATCCCTAGCCCTGTTTTCTTTTTGGCTAACATTTTTTCTCACTTAAGTTCCCCACTCATGAAGGAAAATTCTATTATTATTACAATGCCCCTTTGCAGATAAAAAAACTGAGGGACTTGCCCAGAGGTCTAGAGACAGGTCTGTTGGACTGCAGAGCCTGGGCTCAGAGTTGCTAAGGTTTGCCCTTCTTCAGAATGAAGCAACTAACAGACATACGTTACCTCTGACCCAGCCTCTGTGAACATCTCAGCATCAGGGTGCAGACTGTAGGTGGCCACTGGCATTAGACCCTGTACCCAGCCCACCTGTCTCCTGCTAATCTGGAAAGCAGGAGACTGGCTCAGGAACCACTCACTCACCTTGATCCCATCTGTAGCATTGTGCACCACGGTGGTTTGTGGCTCCTGAGGAAAAAGATAAAAATTACCCTCTTGACCTGGAGACAGACCTATAGCTCCTCCCGAGGGAGCCCAACCCCAAACCAGGACTCCCAGAAACTATAATGGCCACTGAGGCCCACCCACCATCCCCTCAAGACAAAACATTCTGGCTCAACTGGGGTCTCAAAGAGCTGGGAAGCCCTAGATTGAGGTGACAGGACTGGCTAGTAAGAAAGAAAGGCCTGGAAGAAGCAGGTACCTAAGAATTCGAGACAAGGGTTCCTGCTTGTACTGAGAGTTCTTTCCACATGTCCCCCACCCTGGCCCTGCCAGATAAGCATATAGGAGGAGCCATAGAACTCAGGGCACAGGACAAGCCCTGCTAACATTGTTCATCAAGGGGTGCACGGGAGGCAGGGACACAGGGAGAAGAGAATGATAAGATCTCCCAGAAAGGCCCAGGATTCACTCTCAGCAAGCTTGAGTACAGGGAGCTGCCCACTTTGTCTACCTTTTGCTTTCTCCTGGCACCATGTCAGGCAGCACAAGGGTCCACAGGACACAGAGGGCCCCTCCTCTCCAAGTCATCCCCTTGCTAACTCTAGTTATCCTCCACTAGCAGAGGGAGCTCTGAGACACACAGTGCCTCTTGGAAGAGCCTAAGGAGAACTCAGATGGGGTTCTCTAGGATCTCAGAGATCTTGGCACCATCCAAAGGTGGGTGACCCTTGTCCTTCTTCCTGTTCCTGCCTTTGCAAAGGAGAGGATGAGGCAGATTCTACAAGGAGGTCTCCAAGAACTGATGTACAGTCTCCAAGAAGACCCTTACCCTCTCCTTTTATAAGCAACTCCCCTTCCCAGCCCCAATGGCAGACCCAATGGGGATCCCAGCCAGGGGCTGGGAGGTTTAGCTGAGAGCCCTGATCACTCTTCCCCACAACCGCAAAAGGAGCAGGAGCAATGGTTCTGCCATGCAGGATGGAACATGGCCAAGCAGGAAAATGAAGGGCAAGGGGCCTATGGGACGGCACACAGAGCAGCCTGCTCTATAGGAATCAGAAAAGGAAAGAGGCTAAGGAGTCTGGGGAAAGAGGGCAAGAAGAGGAAGAGGGAAGGAGCAGGAGGCAGCCAGGGGCAGAGGCAGAGAAGCTGTAGTCAGGAGGTACCATGGCCGTCTGCAAGGGCGCGGGCTCTTGGGCTGGGCTTACGAGACTGTTTTTGTTGTTGCTCTGTGGCTGAGACAAGAAAACAGATGGTTTAGTTCCTCCAGAGTCACCAAGGCTGCTCAGGTTCGACTCCCAGACCTCCCTTGACCCCTGACCTGGCCTGGAGGAGCTGGGCCTGAGGTGGCCATCATAACACTATGCAGATGGGAGCAATGGCTGGAGAGATGATCAGTGGAAGGGACTATTGTGAGAGGCCCAGAAACCTAGCTCTGGAGACACCCTCAAGGTGGGACTAGTCAAAGACTTGTTTTAGGGCATCTCTCCAGAAATGTTTATTCCAGGTACCATGTCATTGCACAATTACATCTGACCTGAAGAAATTTAGGGTCTTCCTTCCACTTCACAGGTAGAAAGGAGAGTGATTTATAAGAAAGCAGAATAAATTCAGACACTCTGGTGCCCTTATCTGTGGGCAATCTCCTGCTACCCTCCACTTGGCATCTGTATTTTTTTCCCCTTAAAATACTAGCTGGAAGCCTGATCTGAAAAGAAAAGGAAGAAGAGCAAGAATACCTGGCCTAGGAAATGGTGTCCAGAGAGGAAAGGGGTGGAATTAAAATTTAAATACAAAATGTATCCATGGGCCAAAGGGAGCTGAGACAGGGTAGTGCTAGTCATCTTCTGTCCTATAAATCCTGAACTTGATCAGCTGGAATTGAAGGCAGGGCTCTGAGGGCAAGCAATTCTTGGGTGGGGGCTGTGGCTATGGTTCCAGAACCCAGTCCCCAGGAAAGAGCAGGCCACCCTGCAGACCAACACTCCTAACAGCAACATGACCATGAGGGATCTCTCCTTGCCATTCAAAACATGAGAGTGGCACAGCAGGGTGAGGCTAAGAGGAAGCTGATCAGGAAGGAAGGCCAATCTCAAGGGCAAGAAGCCACATCATTGCTCTGTGCATCTAATAAGTCCCTAACCAGTATATAGTCTTACTGGGTGTCCAGGTGGAGTTTTGGTCACCAAGGAATAGTCTGATGCCTTTAACAGGAAGAGACAAATGTCCCTGTGCTTACCGCCTATGGCTACCGCCTCTGTGCAGAGTGTAAATGAGGACATGTTGACAGCTAGCATGTGCTTCTTCTCTCCCAGGACACACACAGAAGGCATTCAGACTGTCCTACATCTTGCCTGGAAGCCTCTTGGACCGGATTTGAAGTCCACCCCCAGCTTGCTGTCAGTGGCTGAGACACCCCCAAGCCCAGAACAAGACATGGAACCTAGGTATCACATTCTAAAAGACTCTACTGAACTCTGCAGGCTAGAAAGAAAGATCCCAGGAGTAGTCAGGACACGAGCCGAGAATAACATGAGCTGATCTCTTCTGTTTCCACCAGTAAAGAGTGGAATCCTCCTAGCTCAACTGCTGATGATGTCCTCTTGCTTGGGGTTGATCGGAGAAGGCTGCTCTGCCTGCCATGCCCAGCTGACACCAAGGCCCTCACAGGGAACAATAATGACAGAGTGCTTGTAAAACCTGCTTTATCTGCAGAGGGCCAGGAAGAAACCCAGGTGGCTCCGCCTCTGGTTTTAGTGGATGGTTTCATAATGACTAAACCTGCTGTGTTCTCCTTGGTGCCCTATGTCCCATGAGAAAGAAGATGTGTTACTGTAATCTTTCAGCTGTGCTGAAGGCTGGGTGGGAAGGATAGGACTCTGGGCCCACCCAGAGGATGGGACTTGCACAGGGGAAAACCCAGGAGAGCAAGAATCAGAGCCAGGAGCCAACCAGCTCCTCTGCTACCAGCTGCCAGTTTGTAGATAGCAGTTGCTTATGCCCAGTGAGCAAGGCTTCTCCTCCTGAATCACAGTGAGTGAGATTTTCTCCTTGTGCTTACCACCTGGCCCCAAGTCCCTACCAGCTTCATGTCCTGCCCTACTGGAGGCCCATCCAAACTCCAAAGCAGGGGGTGCCATAGTGCACCTTTCAATGCCCAATTTTGAGGCCACTGGGTGACCTTGGGCAATGGCCCCCATCTGGCAGGACAGGCCACACCTGCCCACAAAGCACAGACATGCAGTGAGGATGAGTGAAGCACACGCACATGGCAGAATGGGTCTGCGTGGCTGGCAGGCGGGCACAGGCAGCATGGAGTGGGCGGATGGGTGGGCAGGCAAGGCTCACCATTAGGTGCACGCTGGAACTCGACTTCCTTTTCTGGACACATCACAGCAAAAAGGAAAGAGAAGGGGAAAGAGGAGGTAAGAAGAGAAGCACAGAGACACTGCAGGTTAGTGCACCAGCATGGGCTCTGCACTGGGGGAGAGAAGAAAGGAAGGAGGAGACCGGGAGTTCAGCACCAGAAGGGTTAAAACAGCATGTAGACTGAAAAGCACACACACCCCTCCAGACCCCAGAGGGGAAGAACTCTGTTGTCAGGTTCGCAAACACAGATTTAGTATATTAGAGAAGTCTCAGCCTTGCTCAGAGAAAGCTTCTTGGGGAGATTAAGTCACAAGTCTGTGAGGGTAAGTAATATCTGACTGTTGCAAATTTATAGGTTTATGTTCAAAAGGCTGGTTGTACCTATAAGGGTATTTACTTTCCCATACCGCTAGATCTGTCTGAAATATGAGTGAGCTGCTACCATCAGGAAAGTAACAAAAGCTACTCTAGACTATCCTTAGCTTTATTTTTTTTGGGGGGGAGGGCAACAGGGAGTACCAGGAATTGTACCCAGGGGCACTCAACCTCTGAGCCACAACCTCAGTCCTTTCTGTATTTTATTTAGAGACAAGGTCTTGTGGAATGGCTTAAGGCCTTGCTAAGTTGCTGAGGCTTGCTTTGAATCTCGATCCTCCTGCTTCAGGCTTCAGAGCCACTGGGATTACAGGTGTGTGCCACAGTGCCAGCCATCCTTAGCTTTAATAACTTTGTGTGGGGCTGGGGATATGGCTCAAGCGGTAGCGCACTCGCCTGGAATGCGTGCGGCCCGGGTTCGATCCTCAGCACCACATACCAACAAAGATGTTGTGTCTGCCGAGAACTAAAATAAATAAATAAATAAATAAATATTTTTAAAAAATAACTTTGTGTGTGTGTGTGTGTGAGTGTGTGTGGTGCTGGGGATTGAACCCAGGGCCTTGTGCATGCAAGGCAAGCACTCTACCAACTGAGCTATATCTCCGCCCATTAACATTTTACTTCTGAACCTAGACTTTGCTGCACACCTAAATTGCTTTTCTGATAAAAATGTTGGGTTTTTGAAAACGATCTCACAGTTAAATTTTGGCCATCCCCTTCTATATCAGTATGGTCATGCTTTTTTAAGATCAAATTTTGACTGCATTTTTGCAATTACTGGGAAATAGAAGAACAGGAGTGCTGGTGATTACAAGTGCAGTGATCATAAAGATGCAGAGATGTAAGCCACAGGGAATGCTGAAAGTAGCAATTCCTTAGCCTCAACTAGATGTTAAAAGACTTTATGTTTAGATGTGAAACAAGAGCATCAAAAGGAAGACCTCATGGCACACTGAAAACTCATCTCAGAACACTGTGTCTAAAAGGTGAAGGGGAATTATGTATATTACCATTAACTCACAGGAAAACAGAATCCCCTTGGAATATGTCCATCTGTTGTTTGACTTTTGTGCATTAATTTAGTGACATCCAACAAACACTGAGGGCTGTTCTGGGCACAGTAAATGTGTCTGATAAATTGTTTCTGTCCCCAAGGGGGCTAATGTTTTACTTTGAAAAACATTTTTGGGCATGTATTATAATAAAAAAGGGGGACTACAAATATTTAAAACAATAGTCCATAATTTAGAATTTGAGCTAAATAAAAACAAATAATCTAAATGTAATCAGGCTTCTTTTGTACTAGCCCTCTGAATATGCTCAAATGTAAAATGAGATGTTACTTCCAAAATTATCTGTCAAAAAAAGAACCGTCTTACATTTATATCTACCTACCTACAAACCTACCACCCATCTTTCTTCCTACCTATTTCCCGATATCCTTTACCCAAACAAGAGTGTTAATGCTTTGAAGGAATAGGCTTTTCCCCTGGTGAGAGCAGCATCCAGGATTCTAATTTGCAATGAATCACAAAAATAATAAGTCTGCTGGGTGCTCATTCACCAGGCCCAGTCCTTGGTTCTGGTGATTTTCAGGGACTTGTTGTCAAAGGCCATTGCAGTTGCCTTTTCCTGGACCTTGCTTTAAAGCAGAAAATCTCTCATCCTCGTGCTAAATATATTCCCAGGCTTCTCCTAGCTGGCTCCCTTCTTCCTCAACTGTCCTGCAGAAGCACCCGAGATAACTCTTTTCCCACTCCAAGACTGATTTCCAGGCTAGTGCACATCTTTCAGCTTCTCTCCCCCATCTTCTCAGGGTTTTGCCCCTCAGCCATTCACACCTGGACTCTTCCACCAGCATACTGTAGCATTATTTAAAGGCCAGATCACTTTTAAAGAACCATGTCTCACATTTATTTAAAAGTTATATGCATATAGTTTTATATGCAGCTGTATATAGACATATGCATATATATGTACATAGACATAAAAATCCCACACTGGAAAAGAGTTCAAGCTTCCTTTTCATATTTGATTTAAATGAATGAATATTCAAATAGCACTTAAGGAAATAACTATACCCTCTTCTTTTTTGCTTTCTTCTTTTTTTTTTTTTTTTGTTGTTGGAGGGTACTGGGAGTTGAACCCATGGCTTCTTAATACTCTAGCACTTAGCTACATCTCCAGTCTTTTTAAAAAATTTTGAGATAAGGTCTTAGTAAATTGCTCAGACTTACAAAATTCTCTCAGAACTTGAGAACTTCCTGCCTTATCCTCCTAAGTAGCTGAGATTATAGGCATATGCCACTGCTCCCTACTCTTCTCTTTTAATTTAAAGCTTAGATGGCCATTGTGGTCTGGGACTAGCAGAATGCCAAGTTATTCTTAACTTGAGGCTTCTCAGGATCAGAGCCTTTGTGATCCATTCAGTCCTGTCCTCAGAAGAGCCTCTCACTTTCCACATACCCCGAGTCATTGGTATTCACCTTCAAAGAGACCAAACTCAAGAGCACAAGATAGACTAGCTGCTCCAACCAGAGCTAGTTTTTTTTTTATTTTTATTTTTTGGTTATCAATGGACCTTTATTTTATTTATATTTGGTGTTGAGAATCAAACCCAGTGCCTCACACATGCTAGGCACAAGCTCTACCATTGAGCCACACCCCCAGCCTCAGAGCTAGTTATTTTGAGCATCTTGCTCAAAGTAAGCTTCTGAACAGTGAGAAGGAAACCTTCCTACAGGCATTTAGCAGAAGAAATGAGGGAGGAAGTTGGGAAGGGAAGATGGGACATAGAAGAATTATCCATGATGCAGAAAGCTCAGGATCTTCTGAACAACTTATAGGTCTCCCCTGTAAACAGGTCATCAWGTCCTCTTTCAAGAGAGCCCTCAAAGGTCCAACTCTGCACACCTAGCTTCATGTTCCCTTTCCTTTACTCAGAACTCTCATGCAACCACACCATTCATTAATTGATGTACACATGTTCCTGAGTTTAAAAGAACTGCCGTCACATTATCAATAATTTGGAAAACAGAAGAGAGGCAAAACCATCCTAACTTCTAGTGCCCTTCTAGTCTTTTCCTTTCACAATTTAAAATTATAATTTATAAGCTACACAAAAGTTTATGCCTTGCTTTAAAGATAAAAAGTATTGATTTAAAGAGAATTTGGACTTATTGGTTGTAACAGTCATGTACAGTCTAGGTGAAAACTGAAAATACAAAAAAATGTATTTTTAAAAAGTTGCCAAATTTGGGGCTGGAGCTGTAGCTCAGTGGTAGAGTGCTTGCCTAGCACATGTAGGGCACTGGATTCCATCCTCAGCAGCACCACACAAAAATAAATAAAAGTATTAAAAAGTTCCCAAACTTGCATCATCCAGTGAAGTTATGGTTTATATATATATACTTCGATGGGTTTCCCTTCCCTCTTCCTTTTACTCCCTTTACCCCCTTTCTTTTTTCTGTAGTGCTTGAGATTGAACCCAGGGCCTTGGCCATACTAGGCAACTGTTCTATAACTGGGCTCCATCCCCAGCCCTTTTTATTTTGAGACAGAGTCTCTAAGTTGTCCACAAGGACCTCAACCTCATGATCCTCCTTCCTCAGCATCCCAAGCAACTGGGATTATACAGGTTCTTTCAGGTTTTTTTTTTTTTTTTCCTTTTTTCCTTGTACACATATTACACATAACATACAAAATCAGCATCTACAAACATTTTTTAAAGAAAATTTAGCCAATAGTCTTTTTTTTTTTCTTCAGTGGTACTGGGAATTGAACCCAGGAGGCCCCACCAGTGAGCTATATCCCTAGACCTTTTTATTTTGAGACGGTCTCAATAAGTTGCCCAAATTATCCTTGAACCTGCCATCCTCCTGCCTCAGTCTCCCAAATCGCTGAGATTATAGGTGTATGTCTTCACACCTGGCTCCTATGTGCCTCTTTATATTCCATCTTTTTTACTTAATGCAAAATATTTTCCTGCTATATTTTTCACTTCATATAAAGCATTTCTGCTACTGTATGCTCATGAAAACAAATAACTTTAAAACAGTCTATTAAATGGAAGTCCCATAATTACTTAGTCATTTCCTTATTGGTTTTGAAATTGTCTTCAATCTTTTCAGTTATAAAAAAAAATGTCATGTTGAACATCTTTCTGCTTTCAACTTTTTCCTATTCTAAATTATTCTGAAAATAAGATAATTAGGAAAGAAATTCCCAGAAGTAGAATTATAAAGTAAAAAAGGTAGAAACACTTGTAGCGCTTTTGACCACAGGCTGTATTAAAAAGGACCACTGTGGTTTTCATTACTGTCACCAACTTAAGAGTCAAAAAATAGCACCTTGTTTCAATTTCCATTTCTTTGATGCTAGTGAAGCTAAAAGTTTTTCCACATTTGTTATCCAGGTCTACTTTCTCAACTTCAGATGGTCCATTCATCTTCTTTGATCATCTTTCTGCTGGGTTTTAGCAGAAATTCTTATTTGTTGAAGAAACTATTTAATAAAAAGACATCCCATACTGCTGTGGGTATTTTCCCAGCCCATCTATTTTCAACTTTTAATTTTGGAAATTGCCTTCCTAAATATCTATTTGGTCCTGAAAACTTTTTTTCTCAAAAGTGCGTTGCACTTGTCAGGACCTGAACACACAACAGGGCTAGGTTCCCCACACAAGTTTTCATTTAAAGCAATTTATCTAATGTTTCTGGATGCCCAGGTTCCTCCTCAGTGTTCCTATGGGATCTGACACTGCTGTACACTTTCTGTTCTCCCAATTCTTTGTTCTTTCTTTCTTTCTTTCTTTCTTTCTTTTTTTGTGTGTGGGGGGAGACAGGGATTGAACTCGGCCACTGAGCCACATCCCCAGCCCTATTTTGTATTTTATTAGAGACAGGGTCTCACCTCGAGTTTGCTGAGGCTGGCTTTGAACTCGAGATCCTTCTGCCTCCGCCTCCCAAGCTGCTGGGATTACGGGCGTGAGCCACTGCACCCAGCTGTTCTTTCCCTTGTTGAAACCCCTTATTCCAGTCCATTATTAACAGATAACCCCCCAATTTTATCAGACTTCTAAACTTTTGTGTGCTTTAGATTCATCTGGGAGAAGTAAAGTATTAAAATTCACTGGTTGATTCTGCCTCCTACTCAAGGCCTCTGGGAATCTGAATTTCAGACTACACTCTGTAATCTGTGTATATGTACGTGTGTGTGTGTGTGTGTGTGTGTGTATAATATATAATGTGCATATTTTTAGTTGTTGATATACCTTCATTTCTTATTTATTTATGTGGTGCTGAGGATCAAACCAAGTGTCTCACACATGCTAGGCAAGCGCTTTGCCACTGAGCCACAACCCAAGCCCCTGGAATCTGTGTATTTTTAATTAGTTCTTTAATCTTACATGGCTGCATCTGATGTTTATTTTGGGGACTAGCATTCTAGATAGTTCTGCTAGAAACTTCTCTCTCCCTCTGGTACTAGAAACTAAATCCGGGGGTGCCAAACCACTGAGCCACATCCCCAGACCTTTTAAATTTTTATTTTGAGACAGGGTCTTGCTAAATTGCTGAGGTTGGCCTCAAATTTGTAATCCCCATGCCTCAACCTCCCAAATTGCTGGGATTATAGGTGTGTGCCACCATACCCGGCTAGAAACCTATCTCAAAATGGCTCCTTTATCCATCCTCTCCCCTCCAGCTCAGCAGTCTCTGCTGTATTTTATGTCCTGTTTTTGGTATTCACTTGTCCCTTTAGCCAAGCAGAAGCTACTGAAGTTCCCATAATCATCAGCAGTTTCAAACTGTAACTTCACATGTGCTGTTCCCTCTGCCGGAAATATCCTTCCTCCTCCACAACCTGGCAAACCCCAACTGTTGGTCCTTCAAACTCGGTTCCTGGCCATCTCCTTCAGGAAAATTTCCTGATCTGGCTTGATGCTGTCTCCTTACTCCCCCAGTGCCTGTACTGTGCACATCATCTTCAGGCACCTTATCAGACTGTACCAGAACTGGTGGCTGCCCCATCTTTCTCCCACTGCAAACACCTAAAAGGGTACATCTACCTTTGGTAGATGTTGCTGCCTTCCAGCTCTTGGAGCACACAGCAGGCATCTAATGAACAGTGGCTGAGGGCTAGGGCTGGGGCTGAGCGGTAGAGTGCTCATCTTGCATGTGTGAAGTCCTGAGTTCAATCCTTAGTACCACATAAATAAAATAAAGGTATTGTGTCCACCTACAACTAAAAAAAGATTTTTAAAAATCCTTAAAAAAAAAAAACAGTGGCTGAGGGGGTGCATTTGTGAGATGCCCCCCAATTCAATGTTGGATTCTTCCTTGGGCTGTATCAGGGACTTTAAAAAGATATGTCCATCCACATACTCCACTTTTCCTTCAATCCCAACATGGCCAAAATAGAACTCTTCCTCTTTAGATGACCATTTTCTTCACATCTACTCGCATTTCTAGCAGAGGTACCAACATTCCAGGCTGGAAACCTTGATATTATCTGATGATCTTTTTAATCCCTCATATCTAATGTGAGCTTCCACTGACACACCTTTGATCAGAGTTGGTATTCCCTGACTCAAGGGCGTAAGTGGACCACAGATACAGGCAACCTCATTCTGAATAGAATTTTGACTATTATCCCTTGCTATTTCTAATCAACTTTCCTTTTCAATGCTATTGCCAGATTACAATAAATCCTAATTGACACCACTGAGTCTAGCTCTTCCCCTCTTCCATTTATCCATATGCCCTCAGCTAAGTCTTCCTCTGTCTTTCTTTGTACTGGGGATTGAACCCAGGGCCATGTGCACACTAAACACACGCTCTACCATGGAGTTACACCCTCAGCCCTTCAAATATTTCTCAGAATTCCTACCACAGCTTTTCCTACTTGTGGCGTATGATATTGTCTAAGGTCTAATATACAAACTTCCAATTATTCTACTCAATCAGACTGATCCAGCTGTATTTGGTAGGGGCTGGAGGGCTTGCTGTGCTCTCCAACTGAGTTATGCCCCCAGCCCCAGCTGTATATGTATATTTTTAATTTTTATTTGTTCTTTTTAGTTATATATGATAATATAATGTACTTTGACATATTATACATACATGGAATATAACTTCCCATTCTTGTGGTTGTACATGATGTGGAGTTACACTGTTTACATATTCATAAATGAACATAGGAAAGTTATGTCTAATTTACTCTACTGTCTCCCAGCTGTATTTCTGAGATCTCTCTTCCATACACCCTGTGTTCCAGTTAGGTGAAGAACATGCGTGAAAACTCATAAAATTCATATTCTTATTTTTAGGTTACAGAAGCAATACCATCTCATTTTAAATACATTTAAGTGTACAAAGTAAAAGCTGAAAGGTGTTTCTCTCTGCCCTGCTATCACCTCTGACTCCATACCCTAGAGGCAATTGCTGCACTGCTTTCAATCTTCCTGTATGTTAGGCTTCCTACAATAAGCTTTTTCCCATGAGCTTTTTGGCCTGAACCACCCCATGGAGGGTCCAGTAATAGTGTTTAGCTGGATCCAGCTATGTCCACTTTCCTCTCCCTAAGGCAATGTAAAAGCTACATTGTACCTCCTGTATGTGCCTCTCAGAATGTGTGCAGAGCAAGACATCTGATAGTTATGTACTAAATACTTTGTAAAGATGGATTGATTTTAGTTTCTTCCCCAAACAGAAATTTCCAAAATCTTTCTCCAAGTAAATCTATCCACTTTTCCAAACTTGAATCTATCCATCTAGCTTGAGTTCAAAACTGGGGGACTGCCTGGCCATCCCAGTTCCATGTCGGCAGGTATGCAAGGAGCCCAAGCTCCCCTCTTATGAGCAGAAGGACACAGAAAGCAGGCATGCAGAGAATAAAGGAAAAAGGAAGGGATTGGCAGAAGGGAATGGAGACAAAAGATCCTGGAAAAAGGCCCAATTTAAATTTTTGTTGGAGATTTGAAGGTTTGGATAATTTTATAGGTTGATATTCTCTGTGATGTCAGTTGGAAGGCTTTAAGACAGTATGAACTCCTATCCAAAGTTCCAGTCCCAGGACCCTTTCTTCCTCCTAAGCATCCTCATGCACCTTGGGCCCTGAGGTTGCCCCGCCTCTCTTCACTTCAGCTGAACAGCTATTCACAACAAGGGCTTCCTGTTGGGGCCTGCAGGCACCTGGTCCTTCTTCTCGGACAGGTCCCATAGAAGCCTAACCTCAAGAAAGTTTAAGATACTTTCACTCAGTGGTATTTAACCAGGGTTCTGGAAGTATTTTGCAGAAAAGGACAAAGACCAAAGAATAGTGTCTTCAGGTTTCTAGTCCTGTACCCTGCCTGAATCACCCAAGCAAACTTTGCTTTCATTTGATTAAAAAGGGTTATGGAAAAAAATGGAGGGGGTGGGGGGTGTTTAATTAGATGTCCTAAAATACCTCAGAGTGTCAAGCCCTCAAGATGAAGCACATGTGTGGAAGTCAGGCTTAGGGTCAGCTCTAGGAAACTATAATTTGGACTGCTTCCCCTGAGACCTTCCCACCCAGCTAGATCAGGAGAGACACCTTTCCATTCTTCCCTCCCAGGCCAGTGGAACCTGCTCTTCTTAGCATAGAGGCTTCCAATTTAAAGCAGAATAGCAAGAGTAGATGGTTTTCAGGAAAAGGAGAAGCAAGGTGCCTAGACTTCTCAAGAATAACTACCAGGGGGAGAGGCCAGTCTCTGGTCAGAAGGCTGGAGAGATAGATACCCACCTTGACACCTCCATCCGACTTCTTGTTCAATAGGCTTTTGGCAGCTGTGAAAACAAAGAGGAAAGTCACATCTTCTGCATCTTACCCTCGTCCCAACCTGAAGTCTGGCAGCTGGATCTGCAAGAGACCGCTATATTTGACAAGGGGGCCAGGAGTCTCCTGAAAGAGACCCTTCCTAGTAGTCCCTCTGCAGGAAGGGCATCTTGAGTGGTGTCAGGGCCTTCAGGATGACACCCCAGGATCTCCTCTGCTGTGGAAGCTGGCTCAGCAGAAACAGACACCCTGTGCTTAGGAGAAATCATGTTCAGTACTGGAGCAGCCCGGGAGCACTGGGAGCTCTGCCTTTGAGAGCTTCCACCCAGGCCTAGAAACAAAGTGCCAGGGTGAAAGGGTGAGGGCTCCATTCTTAGATGCCATGGAGGTTCTCCAGATAGCCACACTGGAAGGATGCAAGACATCTCCGGACTGTTCTCAAGAAACAGAGTGTCACAGTTCACAAAGGAGACTAGATGTGAGGACAGACAGACACAGACACAGAAACCAGGACCACCTACAGGAGGATTTTGCCAGGGGGTTGAAGCCTTCACTGGGCAGGACCTCACCAGGTTTACTGGGTCCTAGCTGCCATCTTTTCCCCAAACTCTCTGGACTCATGAGCAGGAAGGGCTAAGCAGAATAACGAGTTATCAGATTCTAGCCAGGCGTGGCAGAATGCTCAAGGCTGACCAGCTTCACACCAGAAGGCTGGTGACGGGCTGAAAATGGAATCAGCCCAACTGTCTGATCCACCTGGACTGCCTGGGTTTAAATCTTGGTTCCAGCTGCTAGCTCTGTGACCTTGTGTGAGTAAGCCTCTCTCAGCCACAATTTCTTTAAAAATGGGATAAATAAAACAGGCCTAGGTCACCAGGCACTGATGGGGGTCCAAAAGGACCATGCCTGAAAAGCATTTAGCACAGTGTCTTGCACATGATTTAAGTACCCTACTAACCATTGTTATCACTATTGCTGCTATCCTTCTGCTCTTTAGGTGGCCATTCCTACCTAAGCTGTGTCCCATATTTCTCCAGTGAGAACAAGGGTCCTTCCATCACAAGATTCTGGCTCCAAAAGAAGGGCATTTGGTCTGATCTCCAATCATGCTGCATTTGAAAATTATTTTTTTAAAAAATATATTTACTAGTAAGGGCTTTGTTTACATTAGCCAGTTCTCAATTCTGGTTGCCCACTAGAATTACTCAGGGAGTTTTAAAAAATGCTCATGCCTAGTCCATCCACTAGGGATTCTAATTTTGTTTATCTGGGGTGGGGTCCTGCCACCAGGATTCTTTAGGAGCTCCCAGGTAATTGGTTGTTCTGTACAGGTAAGGTTGACAGCCTTTGACATACTGTTCTTAAGCATCACCACGTTATCTGTCATCCTCATTAGAGAGATGAGAAAACTAAGGCTGGGAGAACTGATGTGACTTGCTCAGAGTATAGCAAGGCTAGAATTCAAACCCAGAGATGGCTGACTGAGGTTTTTGCACTCCACAGCCTTTCAGACCTGGAGGCCTGCAAACACCAGACTTCATAATTTTGAGGGGCAAGGCTTCCTCTGTGGGCTCTTTAACAGTAGTGCAGAAGCCTAGTTCCAGCACTGGGCAGCCCTGCAGGTCAGGCCCTTGGGCTGCCTGGAGGGAAGGCTCCTATTTCCCAGCTCCACATCCCCAGGCTATTGCCTCCTGAGAGTTGGCAAGCGCCCAGCATGCATGGCTGGTTAGGGGGCTCTGTAACAACAATGCGCTCGCAGATGCCAAGTTAGGTGGTCCTTCTGGCATGCCCATCTCAGCCCGCAAGCATGGAACTCGCCTCCCTGGTGCGTGGGCCTGGCATGCTGGCCCTCCTGGTGGGGTGGCAGGGAGCCGAGGCAGGCGGTCAGGGAGGACTCATGCCACGTACCTTGCCCGGCCAGGCTGGCGGCGCTCGCGGCAGGCGAGGCGGGGGCGGAGCTCTGCCTGCCAACTGAGGGGATACAATCTCTCAGTGCACAGAGCTACCGCAAAGCCACGGGGGCCAGTCAGCAGCGAGCATGCCCCAGCATGAGGCACGGGCACCACTGGCTGCCCACACACAGCAGGGCCCAGCGGCATGGCCAAGCCAGCCGAGCTGGGGGAGCGGAGGCGCCAGGGGCAGGCCGATGAGGCAGGTGCAGCCAGTCCTGCAGCAGTCCAGGAGCCTGAGAGGACCAGGCTGGGACAAGGTGAAGGGAACACCATACAGCTACTTTGTGGAAATGTACTTAGTGCTTGTTCCATGACCAACTCAGGTGAGGGTTCATAGGTAAAAGCCTGCCTTGGTGAGAGGAAGGTGCCCTTTCTGAGGTGATCCAGCCCTTGCTTAAGGCTGTGAGGATACCAAGCTTCACCTTCAGACCTTCCCTCCCTAGGACATAAATGAGCTCTGTAGCTAAGAGCCTGGAGCATAGAGCAGCCCTTTCCCCTCAACACACTYGGAATGGTAGAAAGGCTGGCACTTACATGGCCTCTGGACAGCTAWGTTTACAGATGGGCCCAGCTCTATGACCCCTAACTTCTCAGAGACAAAGGGCTCTCCCTCTTAAGGGAAGTAGCCAAGAGAAGCAGCTTTACTCAGCCTGTGCTTCACAGTGTCTTGAGGTAAAGATGCCTAAGAWATAAGTCCCCAGAAAGACAACGAAGGCCTCTGAAGAAATATACTCTGGAAGTTATGATTTCACCATTCACCAGGCTATTAAAGTCCAGGGTTAAGATGTGGCCCCACTATTTGGGGTCTACTTGGGAAATAGCCTAGTTTGTGCCTAAGGAATCACAGGTGCCTTTCCTCCTTGACCCACCTATAGACAGCTCTTTCTGCAGAAATTTCCAGAGAAGAGGCCATCTTAGAAGCCTAAAGAATTTTTTTTAAAAAAATTTTTTTGCATCTTCTTTGATCCAGGGCAGTGAGCTCAAAGGCCAGATGAGGTCTGGGCAATAAGAATGGAAGGCTCTTTAGGGATGAACTAAAGTACTATGTCCTAACAGAGAGACTGACTTCTTGAAACCAGGACACCAATTTCCTGAAATGCTGGTTGTGGGTGGGTGATGTGGAGACCAAAGGCCACAAGACAGGAAATGCTACTGATGGGCCAGGCTAAAAGAGTAGCAGTAGCCTGTCTTCGCATTTAACTCAAGAGAAGAGAAGACAGGTAGACATCAAGGGTCAGCATAAAAATGCCCCTAAGCATCCTCTAGAAAAGCTCTTAACCCCCGAAAGTAGAAGCCGCAAGCAGTTGGAGGAAAGAAGCACAGTGTGGGGCCACAACTCCATCTTTGTGGCAGATGGACAACCCATTGCTCCCAGTGCCCTGTATAAGTGGTGAAAGCCCAGGATGGGGCATGACTGGGGCTCACTATCCATCCCTGATATCCCAGAGCCTGTGACTCTTGGGCTGGAACTGGTGAAGCCCTAGGCTCTCTTACCTGCAGCCTCCTCCAAGCTAAAGCCCATGGGTTACCTGGAACCAGCACAGTGGAACCCATCAGGACTCCAGCTCAAAGAAGCAACCCCTGCCCAAAGTGGCTGCCCACCCTGTCTGTGGTTGGTGCTCCCACACAAGCCTCTCTCCATGGCGGTGCAGGAGGAAAGCAAGGGAGGTAGTCTTGTTAGGAGGATGAGAAGGGCTCTTGAACCAAAACAGCGAGGCTGGGGTTAGAGGGAAGGAAGACCAGGGCTACAGCAAGCTGGGGACAGACTTCTTTGTCTTCATTTAAGCCTTAATATTAATCTTTTTCTCAAAGAAAACCCACCGTGCTCCCAACTGAGGGCAAACAATACTGGGGGTAGGGTTGAAAGCAGGGGGCAAAGGGGAGTGGAGTGTCTTGCATCTTAGAAATAATGTCAAGTGTGACTTACAAATTACTGATCCCAACTCTCTTGATTCCTTATGTAAATCTAAGTTCCTTTCCTTCCACTGGCTGGTCTCTAGTTCTTCATTTTTACAGCTAGTATCAGAGAAAATATTTTAAGCCTGAGTCACCTTAAAAGGTCTAAACATCTGGAATAATTTCTATTAGTCGTCTCTACTTGGACACAAGGAAGAAAGAGATCACCCTAGTGATCAGTTGGTGGCAATTGAGAACATTCATAATATTTCAGCTTGATTTTGTTTTTCCCTTCCAGCGCATCCTTCAATACCTTAGATTGGCTATAACCCTAAAGTGCTGAGAATCTTCAGGGAATTCAATAAAAATGTATAGGGAGAAAGTACATAGGATTCTGGACAGGCTACTCCTTGGGAGGTTCTAAGGAACAAATTCATAAATTTGAGCCCAAGTGAAGGTTCCTCCCCTCACACCAAGAATTTCAGTAAGAGGACTCAGCAGCAGAACCCTCAGAACAGGATCCCTGTTAATCCTGCTCAAGGAATCACCTGAGACAGCCACACTGCCTGGGCTGGCTGTGCTCTATGCCTGACCCTCTCACCTCGGCAGAATTAAAGAGTTCAGCTGGGAAACATACCTGAGAAGTTCCTGGAGACAAGCATGGTCGTGAGGATGGCACCCTAGGAAAAGAGGAGAGTCCTATGAGTTCAACCAGACTCTATAAATGGATAGCCTGGCCTCAGGCAAAGCAGCTCATGGCTAGAGCCTGGAGTCACAGGATTCTGGCATCCTCAACATAGCTTAGCTACAACTTGCATAGCTTAGCTTCAACTAGGAGCAGAGCTGCCTTGTCTAATGGGGCAAGACCTGCATTGTTAACAAGCTTGATTTCAGGAGGCCAGTGGCACAGAAACCAAGACTTACCTTCAGTTTTCTCCGGGCATTGAATTTGCGCAAACACTCCACAGTCTCTTGGCGGTGCATCATGGAGGCTACCGTGGATCGTTGCTAGAAACCAAACAGAAAGGCCTATGAGTCCCCCATTCCAGACCCTCTCTCTGCCCTTCACTTTAGTCCTGGCACCAATGGCTATGCCAGGACAGAGCTGTGTACTCAGCCACCCCACATTTGCTCTGAAGATCAAATGAAGTCACAGACATGAAAACACAAAATAAAGGCACAAGCCCAAACTCAAGGTTATGTAAGGACAATCTAAACATGAAAGCACACGGATAACGGATGCTATATGAGTGTGCAGAGAGAACATTCTAATCTTCCTTGGGCAAAGGAAGCTGCAAATGGRAAAGATTATCCTATGTGTGGTGAGCCTGGCAGTTATTCCTTCAGCAACTGCTTACTGAGCACCTGCTGTGGTTCAGGTTCTGAGCAGTGAGAGCACAGGGAGGTCCCTGCTTTCTACAACATTCATTCCTTCAAAGAGCCCCTCTCAACATACCCCACAAGGTCCTGAATGAACCTGGAGTCTCAGAAGCTAAGGATGTATACCTTGAAGGATCAATTCTTTTCATCATTTTGGATGAAAACTTTGATATATTTATTAGTTACTTCCTTGTCTCCTTAAACAGAATCCAGACATGGCCTCCACTTCCTTGGGATCATTGATAGAAGAACCAATTATTTTGAAATGTCATAATATAGTGATGTCCTCAGGGGCTATAGAGATATATAGGACTATGAAAGGTAGAGCCCACAAAAATGATCCTCAGGACATAGTACTACCCTGTTTTGTTTTGTTTTTGGTACCAGGGATTGAACCCAGATGCACTTAATCCCTGAGTCACATCCCTAACCCTTTTTGAGACAGGAGCTCCCTAAGTTGTTTAGGGTCTTGCTAAGTTGCTAATGGATGGCTTTGATTTTGCACTCCTCCTGCCTCCTGAGTTGCTATTATAGGCACACACCACCAAGCGGGCTACTTCCCCAATTTTCCATTTAAAGTTGCTCAGCATTACTTTTGCTGTTGTTGTCTTGCCAAACTATTAGAAAAACGAATGCTAGGACCTGCAGCTTGGTGCCCATAACCACATAATCCTTGCCCTCACCCCTGGCCAACTCTTTCCTGCGCCTGAAACAACTCTCCCCATCTTCTCCACCTTCCCCAAGTCTCTCATTCCACCTCATCTTCCTCAGCATAAACTTCTCCACAATGAGAAATGAGGTCACCATGCACATACTGCTTCTGTTTCAGCCCCCATCCACCAGCTGATTTCTACCCACCCACAACCCAACCTAAGTCTCAGAACATCATTCTTCACACCAGGGTAGACCTCCCGAACAGAGCTCAGAAATCCCTCTCTAAACCTTTGCTTCCTCAATTAGATATATTGTCGACTCATTCCTCTGGACTAGATTCTTCTTGGTAATCTATACATTATATTCAAACTTCTCCTTAAACAAAGTCCTTAAAACATGGATGGGACTGAAGGACATTATATTAAGTGAAATAATCCAGACCCAGACAGGGACCACATGCTCTCTCTCACATGTTGAAGTTAAAAGGAAAAAAAAAAAAAGGTTTGGGTCTGAGTGTGGAACAGTGAAACTGCAGATGTGGCGGGGATTAAAGGGAAGCTGGATTGAAGAGCATATGCTGTATGCACATATTGAATTATCACAATGACCCCTACTAAAATGTATAATTAATAAATACTCTTTAGTCAAAAAACAAATGAAAAAAAAAAAAAAAAAGAAACCCAAACCTCTCTGACGTATCCTCCTCCTCTAAAGAGTATCATTTCTTTCCTCCTTCATGCCTCACTTCCTATGCACCTCCTCAGTCCTACTTCCTCTTCACGCCCCAAAACAGGCTTCTATCTCACTCTACTGTCTTTGTGAAATGATGAAAGAATAGCCTCTCCATGGTCAGAGCCCATGCATTCTCTTTGATCTGTGTCAGGGACTCTCTTGCAATACTACCAATGCTCCCTTACTGAGACTCCTTCTTTTTTTAGCTTCTACATCTTTTGCTTCTGATTCTTTTCTGACTACAGAAATTCTCATTCTCAGTCCCTTTTGCTGACTCCTCTAATTCTCCCTGTTCTTAAATGCTGATGTTTAGTGTCCATCTCTTCTTTTACTGAAGAATACAAACTCAAGAATTKGATCAGCATAGAAACAATCCCATCTTCTACAGCCTCAACATCACCTATACAAAAGACTATGACTCTTTTCTTTCTTTCTTTCTTTTTTTTTTTTAGTGCTAGGGATCAAACCTAGGGCGTCACACATGCTAGGTAAGTGCTCTACCACTGAACTGCATCCCCAGACCATATAGGTATATTTTTTAACTGTCCACGGGGTACCTCAGCTAAAGTCTCTTGACACCACACTCAATGTGTACAAAACTAAATCATCATCTTTTCTCACAAACTGGCTCTTCCTCTGAGTTTCTTCCATATGGATGAAAGATACAATTCTCTGCTCAATGGCAAAACATGGCAGTTCCCACAGATCCCTCTCTCCTTCATTCCCCAATTCAATTGGGCACTAAATCTTTTAGATTCTATGTCCCAAATATCTCCTGAATTTTTCCACTCCTCAACTACCCACTCCCCCATTTCTATCCTCAGAGGAGACCTCATCTGTTGCTTAGACAGTTACGACAGCTTCCTAAGCTCCCCTGACTCCAGCCTCTTTCTTCATTAATTCCATTTTCTACAGAGCTTCCAAAATGATCTTTCTTAAATGTAAATTTCACACTCTCTTTAAACCCTTAAATGGATCGCTATGCATTCAGAATAAAACCCTAACTCCTTAGGCCGAAACTTGGATGTCAGGGAATCTTTAGGGCCTCTTTGTCTTGGATTCCTATAGTCATGGCCTCATTCACAACCAAACTACTTAACAATCCTTGAACTTGATTTCCCATGGCCTCTTACTCTGGCTCCTGCTAACCTCTGTCTACAGGGTAATATCTTGGGGAACTCTTAGTTATCTGCCAAGAGCCAGAACAGAGGTCACCTCCTCCATGCAGCCTTTGTTGACCCCACTGCCCACCAGGGACAGCAAGAACTCCTGCACTCCTTTAGATTTTTTTGCATACTTCACACTGTAGTATGGTTGCCTGTTTGACTGCCTGTCTCTCCAGATCTYTGGAGCATGAAAAATGCCTCATTCACCTTCGTACCCTCTAGCATCTGCACCAAAGAGGCATTCGGTAAACACATGAACGAAGGGACAAATAAATAAATGCATCATGGCTGTCAAGATGATAACTATGCCAGAAAACAAAGTATGTCAATCCACATCAACAGCCTGGGGAGCCTCCCAGCTCAGGAGCTTCAGGACTGAACTTCATGATGCTCTTTTTAATAGCTCAGAGACCTCTTTTGTTTATTCATTGGGTCTTGGTCACAGTTGTTAAGAGTTGTATGARTGTTGAGACCTGAGTATGCCCTGGACTTGGGGATTCACTTTCTGCCAGCTGTTTTCTATCATCAACTACCTAGAGTTTGCAAGAGTCAACCTAAACCCTCATTTAAGACTAGAACTGGGTTGGGATATAGCTCAGTTGGTAGAGTGCTTGCCTTGCATGGACAAGGCCCTGGGTTCAATCCCCAGCACTGCCAAAAAAATAAAAATTAAAAAAAGAGAGCCATTAATACAGCTTCACAACCAGGGCAGAGGCGAGTAAAGGCCTGTTAGCCCCTTCTGCCTCCTAGAGATCCCCTGGTGATATTTATTAACCTTGGGCCCCACTCAGTCTCCTGCCCCACCTACTGGGTCCTCACTCAGGAACCAGAATGATTCTCTGCTGATAAAAAGGAATATAAACATAAGTGGTCACCACTGATCTCCAAGTCCACAGCTGAAAACACTTACACAGACCCATGGGTGCTTCAGAGCCTGGTCAGCCGTGATGCGTTTTGCTGGGTTTATGGTCAGCATCTGGTTGATCAAGTTCTTGGCTTCAGGAGTCACTGTGTCCCATTCTGGTGATGGGAACTAAGGAGCAGGAACAGGGGGAGGTGGGATATGAAATTTGTAAGCCTCACACCCTAAAACGAAGGCTATATCTTCATYCCAACTCCTATAATTGGGATATTCTATGGTACCCAAAGTTGCCTCAGAGAGAGTTGGAGAAGCCCTGGAAATATCCTAGAACCTGTGTCAACTTAAAAGACTAGGAAAGGAAAATAGAACAATGATGGTTAGAATGCCAGAATATCAGATCACAGTAGGAAGCAGACTCCAACAAACATTTTCTGGTTCAACTCCATCTCTCTACTTGGGGGAAGAGACTCAATGATGTGTCTAAGGTACCACTGCAGTGGAAAGAGCCTCTAGACTTCTCGTCCCTGTGTGATGCAGCTTCTCTGTTCTTTGCAAAAAAAAAAAAAAAAAAAAGATCAAAGGGCTTCAGTGGGTTCCTTAATTTTATAGCTACCAAAAAGGATGTTAAAAAAAAAAAAAAAGTTGCTCCCTGGACATAGGGTGGCAAGAACTAAGTCCTGTTTGCCCATCCTTGGATCTTTAAAGTCCCTTATGTCATGTGACACACTAAACAAGCCCCCTTCCTTGGACAGAGCCCAAGGGGCAGGACATGTGCCCTGCTTGATGTTCTTGCTTGATTCTTAGAAAAACAGTCCTTACATCGTACGCTCCAGCCTTGATCTGCTGATACAGCTTGTGCTGATCCTCATCCCAGAAGGGAGGGTAGCCCACCAGAAGGATATACAGGATGACCCCTATGAGATAGAACACACAGGTCACTGGGTTCAGTCACCTATTACCCTGAGGAACCATGAAAGGCCATGCAGGGCTCAGAGCCASACAGAATGACAAGGGCCAGACCAGAGTTAGAGGTGGATGCCAGCCGATAACGCTGTGTCACTAGCCCCTCCTGCTGTGTCTCTCACGTCAGAGATTTCTTTAAGCACAACCTATCCTCTAAGGCGGGGACAATTCCCTCTCTAAGAAGGATGCAACATAATACAGGAAGTTACTTGGGGAGGAGGGTGTGATGGGAACAGCCCTCCCAAGGGGATGAGAGCAAACACCATGATTTCACATACACCAGGCACTTGTGGGACCCGCAAGGAATAGCGATCCTTCTTTCTCGCCATCACCGGAAGCCGAGGGCCCTTAACACGGAAAAGCTGAGGGCGTGGAATGGGCTTACCGCAGGCCCAGATATCCACAGGTTTTCCATAGGGATCTTTCCTCAAGACCTCAGGGGACAAGTAACCTGGGGTGCCCGCAAAACCTGCAGCAGAAGAGAGAGTAGAGGCACACTGAACCCATTTTCTCTCTCAATAAATCCATATCAGCAATTTCTCCCAAAGCCCTTTTCATYCTGCTGCTTTTGCTACATAAGCTTTCAGCACACAGGCTGCGAGAGATGAGAGGCTGGGCTTCTCATAGTGCTTGGAATCTAAATCCGAGGGCAAGTCCATGTGCCTACCAGGAACTCCAATGYCTCCCCAGAGGCAGCAAGAACACAGTGCTGACAACAGCTAGACTTACTGAGTCATGAAGGGCCAGGAGGGATTTCTGCACCCTCCCACCCTTCTCCACTCTCCAAGGAGGCCAGGACCATTAAAGGTCTGGTTTCTAGTTCTGAAAGAGGAAGGCAAATCAGAAAGAGGAGGAAGGGTGGGGACTGCATAACTGAGAAGACAGTGTCACCCTTACCAAACCAAGCCTGCTGCTCTCCTTGCACTTCGATGGCGAGGCCAAAATCAGCCAGCTTGACGGCAGCACCCTTGCATTTACTTGCCAGCAGCAAGTTCTCAGGCTACAGAAGGAACAGCGAGAACCTTGTGAGGCACCCCACCGCCCCCCCCCAGAGCCCAAAGGGAGCCTTCTTTGGGTCCACACAGTACCACTATCTAGCACCAGGTGGCGCCAACATGTCACAAGCAAGAGGCAAAGGAGCGGAGCCTGGTAATACCTTCAGGTCCCGATGGACAATGTCATGCTGGTGGATGTGGTTAACACTCTCCAGAATCTGATGTATACAGTGGCTGAAAAAGCAGGAGGAAAAAATGTCACTACAGGGTTAAACCATCTCATCCAAGACCACATGCTATGGACTAAAAGCATGAAACAACAGGTCACAGGTTCATAGAGAATCACTGAATGATGAGTTAGTTCAACCTATTTTGTTTTCATTTCATTTCTTTAATGTTTTGTTTTATCTTTAATTGACAAATAATATGCATCTACTTGTGGGGGACATGTGTTGCTTTTATACATGTTTACAACGTGGGATRAGTATATTATGCTAATAACATTTCCATTATCTCAAATATTTACCATTGCTTAGTGGAGAGAACATATAAAATCCTCTCTTAGCTACTTTGAAACTTACATTATTACCAACTACAGTCACCACGATGTGCAACAGATCAGAACCTACTGCTATCTAAAGCTCTGTATCTGCTGACCAACATCTTTCCTTTACCCAACCACCTACACTCCAATCCTTGGTAATCACCACTCTACTTTTACTTCTGAGATCATTCTTTTTTAGATTCCACATATAAATAAGGTCATGYAGTATTTGTCTTTCTGTGCCTGGCTTATTTCATGTCCTCCATGTTGTAAATAACAAAATTTCATATATGTTTTTTTTTAAGACTGAATAGCATTCTGCTATTCTCTCTCTCTCTCACACACACACACACACACACACACTTTTAGTATCCATTCACTTGTTGGCACACACTTAGGTTGTCTCCACATCTTAGTTATTGTGAATAATGCTGCTGTGAACATGGGAGGGCAGACATCTCTCCAAGATACTAATTTCAATTCCTTTGGGTATTTACCCAGTAGTGGGATTGCTGGATCATATGGTAATTCTATTTTTAGTTTTCTGAGGAACATCTATACTGTTTTCCAAAAAAAGCCTGTACTAATTTGCAATACCAACAGGGTTCCCTTTCCTCCACATCCTCAACAACACTTATTTTACAGAAAAGGAAACTGAAATTCAGGTAGATTAAGTGGTCTGTCCAGGGTCACTCACTAAATGGGAGGAGAAAGACTAGAATAGAGATTCACCATGGATTCTTCTGTCTATAAAGGCCTAACATAACCAACATGTTTTTAAGAGATCAGGAGACATCCCAGGCTCCTGAGAAAGGTGAGACCATCCAACCCCTACCTTTTTTTCTATTTCCCTATATAGTAACTTTATTCTTAGAGAAGAAACTTGTGCTGGCAACTTAAGCAGGAAGAGTGCAACTGAGTTCCCTAAGTTGTTTTGGGATGACTGTACTCCTTCATTTATTTAAACATTCACTAAGTGCTTCCAAGGCCTTCTGCTTTGTACTACACAGGACATAACGATGAACAAGACCCATAGCTTCCCTGAAGCTGATCATCTGGTAGAGGAGCTAAAACAAACACAGATTTCTTTGAGAAACAATATATTTGAGCAGATTTTTAAACGGGGCACCAAGGAGCATTTCTGAGGAATGTGCATAGAAAAGACAAACTAAGATCCAGAATTACATGCAGCTGCTGATTTTTGTGTCTGCATGTGTGTGGTACTGCGGATTGAACTCAGGGCCTGTGCTTGCTAGAAGTGCGTGACCATTGAGATATATCCCCAGATCTTTTAAAATTTATTTTGAGAAGGGTCCAAGTTGCCCAGGCTGGCTCTGAACTTGTGACCCTCCGGCTTTGGCCTCCTGAGTAGTTAGGATTACAGGTATACAACACCATAACCAGCTTAAGCTGCTGATTCTTAAAGGAGGCTGTCCACTTTACAACCCTCCTGCCAGCCTTGTGGTCAAACTTCTGGCAGGAAACATGAGCAGACTATAGCAGTGGTTTTCTTTTATTTTTTTTTGTACCAAGAATTGAATCCAGGGGTGCTTAGCCACTGAGACACATCCCCAACACTTTTTAGTTTTTATTTTGAGACAGGGTCTCTTTAAGTTGCCTAAGGCCTTGCTAAGTTGCTGAGGCTGGCTTTGAACTCACATTTCTCCTGCTTCAACCTCCAGAGCTGCTGGGATTGCAGGGTGTGTATCACCAYACCCAGCTAGCMGTGGTTTTTAAATGGGGGTGAGTTTATCTGGAGACATTTCTGGTTGTCACAACCTAGGGAGGGGGAAGGCTGTTACTGACATCTACTAGCATGGGATGCTTCTAAGTGTCTACCATGCACAGGAGAGGCTCTCACAACAAAAAWTTACCCAGCCTAAAAAAGGTCAGTGGTGCTGAGGAAAAACCCAGCTTAGAGAACAGATGCCCAGTCATCATGCACCACCAGGTGTACTGGGCAGGGCTGCAGAATGTCCAAGTGTGCTAAGCTAGGTAGCTGAACTTCTGATTCCTTTCTCTAAAATCTGAGGTGCTGGGGGTCCTGCAAGAGCCAAGGGGTCTTACCAGGCCGCTAGAGGCTAAGGCTGGGGCTGCCCTAGCACAGCCCAAGAGTGGGCTAAAGAAACTTTAAGACTGAACTATAGAGGCAAGTCTCCACAGAAATGTATTATTAGAACAGAGTCGGGCTAGCAGGGAGAGCCTTCTGGCCAAAAATGGCAAAAGTGCRAAGTGTCCCAGCAGAGCCAGGCCAAGCCCACTGGTGCAGCCCCCCCTCCCCGCAGTTCCCTGAGCTATCACGCCTCCTCCCGCCCACAGCCTGGTCCTCCCCTGCTGGCACTGGAATTCATCTCCCCACTTGAGAATTTTTCCTGAGGTTGAAGCATCTGAAGTTGATCAGCAAACATTGGCCGCTGGAGGTTGAGAAATCTGTGAGGAAGCTGCACTCCCCCACTTTCCAGAAGCAGCCCGAGCTGCCACATAAGCTAGAGAAGCTGCAGGCAGGATGATCAAAACCAGGTTGTAAGGACATCACCCTCAAAAAGAAACGGGGCTGGGGGAAGAGCCGAGGCGGGAAAGACAGGCCAAACAAGTGCCTGAGAGCTGTGTGGGGGTGGAATTCTGCTGTGTCACATGTAGGAGCCATCAGGGCTTCTGTGGAAGGCTGGAGGCTGAGGCATGGGACTGTGGAACAGCACTCCAGCTAAAAGAATCCCATGTTGAACCTGGTCTTGGCAGTCAAGGGACAAAGTGACAGGGCTAAAAGCTCCTGAGATGGCTCCCATAGTCCATACACCTTTGGGAAAAACCATATCTTTTATGTTTCTAATCACCCCAGACTTCCACTCAGTGGCTTATACATAGTAGGATTTGTCAAAAGAAAGAAGAGGGATTGAGAGGGCCCTCATGTGTACTTGCCAGTGTGAGGTAATAGAAAGAAAAGGCATTTCTGGGGTAATGGGGTAAAGGAGACTCAAGAGGCTTTGCCAAAATTGATCTGGGGTGCTGAATTCTGAGCTTCCGATATTGCCCCTAGAATGCAGCCCTCGTCCAGCTCTGTAGAATCACTGTCCAGATAAGAGTTCCTSTGATCTTCCCCAAAGGCTTTTCAATTAGGCACAATGCCAGCCCCCTAAGGTGGACAAGACTTATTTCAATCCTAAACTCCAGAGCTGCACTGGAACAATTGGGCCTTCATCTCACCTGGCATCTGCTTCACTGTAGTATTCTCTAGCCACAATGTCTTCAAACAGCTCCCCGCCAGTAACCCTGCAGCCAACAGAAGAAGAAGAGGTCAGAGGAGGTGGAGTCCCTTGGCCAACCTCAGTGTCTAAGAGGTAACAGAGTTACACAGTAAAACAGCTCTTACAGAAACCTTAATTCCACATACACTTTGAGAGCCCAGAACATACTCATCCTTCAATGACATGGGGCTCCTCCTTAGGGTATCCTGGGCTCCCCCTTCTTCAGGATATTTCTGTTTCTATAACCTGCAGATCAGCTAACACTAAAGGCAGCTAATGAAGATACAGGGATCTAAGAGAAAATATTCAACCTACCCCCCAAAGACATGCCTTTGTTTGAGACCAATATGAACATAYAGCTATCCAAGGAAGGACAGACCTACCACTGAAGTTGAGAATGAGACCAAGGACACAGAAACCTAACTCTACAGCACTGGAAAGGAGTTTCCAGGAGGTAAAGAGCCACTTTTAAGATATTAAAACACAACCAAAGTGGAAGAGAGACCAAGAGGAGCCCAGTTCATGACTAATAAAAGCTACCCTCAAATTCCCAGAATTTTAAGTTCATGCAAAGAGCAGTACTTTATTTCTATACTAAGGACCAAGAAACAAGAAACAAGCATCTGCACAAGATACACTGTGAAACAGAAGTGTGAGAGCAACATTGAGGCTGGCGCTCTACAGAGATCTGGGGAGATCATGAGCAATGAGACCCCCAGGGGGCTTTGGGTACCAACCCGGCTCCATGCCCGGAGAAAGTACACAATCAAGTCCTTTCTCTCAGGCAAAGGAGAGGGACCGTTGGCAGAGGCTGAAGACCCAGTTAAGCCTTTTCCCAAGCCTTCATCTTGAGCCAGCTGGAGGGAAAGGCCCCACACCCTCAAAAGGAGCACTTACAGGTCAAACACGAGGTAGTGAAACCCTTCTTCAGAAATACTGTCATGGAGGCGCACTGCAAGAGAGGAGATGGGGACAGAGATTAACAGAGAGAAAACTCGGAAATCCTATTCTCCTCCTCTTCAGCAACCCCACCCAGTACCATTCTGTCAGCCTCACCAGGCTCCCTCCTGAAGGCACTGCAGGGAGAAGTGGCAACATGCTCAACACCCACAAAGCAAAGGTTATGTAGCCACAGAGCAAGAGACCAGTGCTCTGGTTGCTGCCTCCAACTGGGGCAAGAAATAGAAGCTTCGAGGCCAAGATGTAAATCAAGACCGAGAAAAGCAGAAACCTTCCCAGAGGAGCTAGTCCCAGAGAAGGTGGTCCCTAAACATAGTGCATGGTGGTGTAACAGACTGAGAAACCCTAGCAACACTGACAGCAGGGGCATGGAAAATGGGAAAGACCAGGAGAACTTTCAGAGGGGCAAATGAGAACAGCAGAGTGAAGGGTAGTGGAAGAAGATGGAAAGGCAGAGCCTAGCAGGAAGGCATGTGAAGCAGGATAACAAATGGCCAGCCCAGGAGGCTAAGCCACATTCAGGCTATGACTATGACGACCTGTTTATCAGGTGTTTAACATACTTATGTGCCAGGCCTCCTGTAGTGAGGTTCTTAGCACACATTACTGATTCCATGAGCATTTAGTGAGCACTACTGTATGCCAGCCCCTGGGCTAGCTGGTGGCATTTATGAGGGAGAGACACAGCACCTGCCTTCAAGGAGTTGATTACACTGCCCTGAGATGAATGTTATTCCCATTTTATAGAACAGGACAGTGGAGGCTAGGAGACATAAAGCCTCTTGCTAAAGGCCAAAGAATTACTAAGTGGTGAGTCAAGATGTGAACCCAGGCTTCTCTGACTCCAAAGGCTGGTTCACACTACTGCTAACTAAAGAAACAGGGCATCCCACATACCAGGTTGTGAGACTGCTCACAAATGTACCCACGACAGCATCATAAATGGGTCCAGGAGGGCAGACATGGAGAAGACTAGGGCAAGTTACCAACTGTAAGAAAAGGCTGGCAAGCATAATCCCTTCCCAATCCTTCCTTCCAAATCTCTTGGGCAAAAGACCAATCTAATGTCTTCTGAGGTCTCTTCATCAAGCGTTTGCCCACAAAGCCACCTCTGGGTTAAATGCCAACCCCTGAGCATCGTTCTAATGTAAACACGACTTGCTTTGGCTGCCTGTCCTGATGTTCCTGTCCCTTCCCTCACCTGAACTCTCTTGATGAGAAACCTCTGTTCCAAAGGGCTCTCTCTGTTTGACCCTTGCTCCAGTCCTCAGCAGTTAAAGAAGCTCTTCAGGAATGGCCTGACACCAAACCAACTGGTGAAGTGTTCAGATGTAAAGAAATCACGCTATCTCTTCCTTGGCAGGCCCAGACTGCTTCCATTTCCAGTGCCAGAGCATCTTCTAAGGGCCGAGGCACTTCCCTAAGTCCCCTTCACGCCAAAGAAGGATCAGCCAGAATGCAAAATACAGCACCCAGCCGCCCTGAGGCACTGAACCATCACTACAGTCCCCTTGTTTTTCTTACTTGACAAATGCAGACACAGAGGCCTGCCTGGGCCTGATCCAAGGCCGAACAACCATCTACACATTGCATGGCCTACACTATTTGATCTGATCTGGTTATTCAACCCTGCATACTTCCCTACATCTGCAGATGACAGAAGAGGGCTTTTAGGACACAAGGAGGGAGCTACAGCAAGACCCCGGTGTCCATCTTACCCACCTAACCGAGCATGCATAATCAAACTCCCCAAAGCCTCCTCCCTCCTTTTTTTGCTTCTCTAGTCTCAGTTGGTGCCTCATGCTGAGTCCTGCTGTGGCTGCTCCCTCGCTTCCAAAAGGACTTTCCATTTAATTAAAAATTTGCTATTAAAAAGCATTAAAGTGTGTAATACAAATAATCCCCTGGAAATCAGCTGTCCCAGAAGCCAAAGACCAGCTTCATTAGGAAGCTGACTAACAGCAGCAGGATGGTGAGCTGACGGGACAGCAGGTAGAATGCTAACAACTGCTCCCAGGACAGCCCCCAGCATCCGGCCCTGCTAAGTCTGGCTGGGCCTGGCCTTGAGCTCTGCCTCACCTGGATCCTGCCCCAGGCCCGCCCCCTGCCCAGCACTGCAGACCTTGAGAACAGTGCCAGAGGTGCAGGCACCCAGGCCTTTGCCCAGACATGGAGTCACTGGCATATGCCCTTCTCCAGGAAGGCCACACATGGAGCCCAGGTGGGAGGGGATTAGTAGAAGAGCAGCAAAGGAAGACTAATCATTCCAGGCCACCCAGACCTGGATGGCTTTGATGCATGCCCAGAGTAGGCAACCACACACAAAGATAAGGGGGGGGGGGTCTGAATAAGACTGCTATCATTTTCAATTTTATTTTGAAAAGAAAATTAATGAGGAATGGAGGACAAGAGGAGAAACTTAACTGAGCCATTCTAAGCATAACTACCAGATTATTGAAGATAATCATCAAAATTATAATGACTAACACTTAGCTGAGCTGTTCCTATGTGCCAAGCATCATACCATGTGTTTTACATGCACTATTTTACTGGATCCAGGCATTAATTCTGTAGTGTAGCTACTTATGATGCCCTCATCAGATAGGAGAGGAAACTGAAGCTTCAAAAGAAACCTGCCCAAAGTCACACTAAGTGGCAGAAACTGGACTTGAAGACAAACTGACATCAACATTCTTGATACTGCAACAACTAAAGAATCACTCTGTCCGTCCTTCCTCTTAGGTAAAGGAGTTCAAATCTGTCCCCACAAGTGCCGGCCACTCTAATTGGCTCAATAATGCCCATTAGATGGCTATTTCAAAGCAGGTATGATTATACATATGGCTGTGAAGAGGGAGCGCAGCCTTGCCATCGCAGAGGGAAAATACAGACTTTAACCAGCAACTAAACAAATACATAACTAGACACAACTAGAGATCTGTGAGGTACTGAGTAAAGGGTGCTATGGCTGGGGTGAATAAAATAACCTGATACCCAGCCCATTATACAGTAATGACACGGCATGAAGGTCAGAGAGGGCCATACCACGTCTATAAACAGGAAGATCTGGGAAAAGGACTCAAAACATTACTGCATTTCAATGATAAAACCTAATTACTGGGCTGGGGATATAGCTCGTGATAGAGTGCTTGCTTGGCATGTGTAAAGGTAGGTTCAATCCCAGCACCACATACACACACAAAACCCTAATTACTATTCTTTAAAAATCAGTGGATGGAAGGGCAGGTCAAAACACCTACATATCTTTGATATTTCATATCTTCTAGGACTGAGAAACCTACAACCCAAATGCTGTGGCTATTTCCAATTCTCAAAAAAACCACCCAACAATATACTACATTTAACAAATCCTTTTCTAAAAAAACACTGAAAAAGTGTCACTGTTAAAAATGTCTGCAGCAGCTGGGTGCGGTGGCGCACGCCTGTAATCCCTGCGATTCAGGAGGCTGAGGTAGGAGGATCGCAAATTCAAAGCCAGCCTCAGCAATTTAGCAAGACCCTGTCTCAAAATTTTAAAAATAAGATAAAATAAAAAAAAAAAAACATCTGAAGCAATATTTTGGTGGGACAGAGGCCCTGTTGCCACAGGAGCTTGTGGGGGATTGAGTGTGACCCCCAGAGACCGGGTATGGCAGGACTTCTCCCCCTCCTGAGAAGGTCACTCACATCCAATGTTTCCCTTTTCTTTGCAACTACTTTTACTACACTTACTGTGAGCTTAAAACACCCCAGGCCCAAGGTAAATGGTGGCTTTGCTTGGAGCTGGGGTCCTGGAAGCTGAAATCTCCATTTTCATTTTTATCACCTCTGTTTCCTGGCCTCCTTTACTTACTGAACCCTCTTGCTACTCTATGAAGGGGCCCAGACAACAAAACAAAGGCAGATACATATTGGTTAAATAACTTGCTTCTAATTAGAAAAACCCAAACTCAAACCCAGTGAACATGACTCCAAGCCACAAACCTTGGCTTCTTCAAGTATGGACCATGGGCCACAGCATTAGCATCACCTGGAGACAGTGAGCCATGAGGAGTCTCAACCCCCACCCCCAGCCTTGCCTGCCCCAGACCTACTGAATCAGGATCTGAATTTTGACATGATCCCTAGCTGATTCACAAGCACATAAAAGTTTGAGAAGTGCTGCTTTAAACCACAACTCTAGACTGTGATCGAAACTGCTGGGGCAGCTCAGCACGAAGGAAGACAGAGTCTATTCATTAGAGGAATTTAGAGCAGAGAGCAAGCAGATCACAGGTAGAACGCACTCCATTCAGACTTCAGACTATCGGCACTACATGGCTCCTCCACTCAACTCCCCACTGTTGGCCACTCTCCCAGGGCTGTTTGAGTTCAACAGTGTGCCTTACATCCAATAGACATTTTATTTGCTTGTTTCTAATTAATATGCTTTATTTTGGGGGAGCAATTTTGAGTTCACAGCAAAATTGAGCAGAAGGTACAGAGTGTTCCCATATACCCCCACCACTACATATGCACAGCCACCCCCACTATCAGCATCCCACACCAGAGTGGTACATGTGCTACAATCGATGAACCCTACTGACACACTATTAACCAAAGTCCACAGTTTACTTTGGGGTTCACTCTTTCACCGGCTTTTAACTTTGCTAAGAATATCAGGGGAAAAAACTGGGGATACCTAGCCCCTTGTACCAAATATCCCTTCTGAATTCAACTGCCTACAAGCCTGAAAACAGTCGGAAGTTGATGATCTGCTCTTTGCTCTCAGCTTCCTCAACTGTGTACCACCCTTGGGCTGATCTAATTGTCTCTCTTTGGGATGGAGTTTAAAAAGGCCACGGCCAAAAGGGCCACAGCTCTGAAGGAACAGTGGAGAGATGAGAGGAATAGTGAATTAGGGGCACACAACTGCCTCCTCTATAGCCACAAGCCAGGTCCGGATCCATGGCAACCTCCGTCTCCTGGACCTGCAGCTCAGTCACATCTCCAGGAGTCCTGGTTCCCATCAGAAGCCAGAGGGCCCAGCCAGCCAGCCAGTGCTCCCAGGACATAGCCCTGACTCACCCKTCCCTCTGGCCTGCCCTTAACCCTGGAATTGGTCCTCAAACCAATATCCCCCAGGACCTGTAAGCAGATAGGAAATGGAAGCATAGTTCTAGGCAATTTGATCCTGACAAAGTGACTGCCACGCCTGCTTTTCCTGAGTCTTGCTGCCTTCCTACCACACCTGGGATAGGTGTCTTTACTCTGAGCTAGGGGTAGGTGGAAAAGGAAAGGGCTGCCAAACCGAGTAATTTTAAGAGGTCAAAGGGATATATTTAATTCTAGAAATATAGAAAAAGGAGATTAAAACTTTTTCCTGCTAGCATCCCATTTTTGTCCTTCCTGTTTATTTATTATGACCCTCTATGGTCAAAGTCACCTTTAACATAGATGATACAGATATGAATCTGCATCCTCTATCACTGACCCCTCCCCCTTTATTCTCCTCTCTACATGAAGACAACACTTCATTGTTGTATAAGCTGATCATACGAAGCACAAAGGAAAGGAAATTTATTGTCCTCAGGCCTTGAGACCCAGGCTGGTACACCAATAATACTTCTGAGCTGGTGGATGGCTTTAAAGCCAGGTCTTCTGATTCAAAAAGCTGGGAAATGGTGTTTTTTTTTTTTTTTTTTTCAAATTGTGGAATCTTGTTTTTAAATATTGGCAAATAATAAAAATATTTTTAGACTGCTGAGCCAGCCAAATTAAACATGCCTCAATTTGTGACTGCTGCTCTAGGTGTTTCTCTGTTGGCCATCTCTTACCCAAGACAACACACTGGTCCCCATCATGCAGTTTTCAGGTGAAGGTCTAACCTCAAAGACCACCCAGGAGGGCTAAGGCCAGGACTCACTGGCTGAAAGGTTTTGGCTCCATGGAACATACTGCACCAGGTGGAGCGGAGGCTTAGCTATGCCAATCTGCACTGGGTGTAATCTAAGCCACCGATTACGATCTATAAAGCCCTGCATGGTTAGAGTTCTGGTTACCTCAGAGCTGCTCCCCTCCCTGTGGGCTGGAGTAGGACCTCAGTTCCTCCACTTATGAGCTCATATGGATTTCTGAGACCTGGGAAGCCACGGGCTGGTAGCTCTGGAGGCAGCATCAAGCTTCTGCAAGTGGCCTCACAGCCCTGGCTGCTAACAGGGCGGAGCAGGAGGCCTCAGGGCACTGTGGGAGCCCTGATATTTAGGCCACGCCTGAGGAGCACAGAACACGTGTTGTCTTTTGTGATGACTCAGGACTTTCAGGGAAAAACCTAGGAGATGCTCCCTGCTCTGCCTCAAGTCAGCACCAGGGTTTCTGCTCAAACCCTGCAGCCAGCCCAGTGTCTGTCCTTTCCTTCTGCAAACAGTACCAAATCAGGGCCAACGCTTTTGGCAAAGATTATTTCAGCTGAACAATGTAAAACTGAGCTGGAGTGGGTTGTGGCAGGCAAACCTCCTCAGGCTTTAGAACAACCAACAATGTGCTCTTGTCCCTCAAGTCAGGATGGGAACAGAGAGAAATCTTCTCAATTTTTTCTCCTTCCCCATCCAAGTGGCCCCTGCCATCCCTTCTCCAGAGAAGCTAGGCGGGTGGGCAACTTGCTTTCCTAGCTCTGGGAAACACAAATGGAAGTGCCATGGAAACCCTCAGAGTGAGCAGGACATTGCAACAGGAACAAAACTCTTTCAAGTCTAGAAACAAAATCCTGAGTTTTTCATGAGGGCTATGGAAGGCCCCTGGTGAAGGATGCTGGCAGCTAGTAGCCCGGAACCTCACATACTGAGGGCTCTGGACCTCAGCCCAAAGACGGAAAGAGAAAGGGAGTCTGAAACCTATTATAATGCCTCATATCCCAGCCCTGAGATGGCTCTGCTGCAATGGAGATACTCAGGTCTCTAAACAAGAAAACTTGAGAATTCTAAGACACAGCTGCTATCCTGCTTGGGTTTAAAAAAAAAAAAAAAAGTACAGGTAATAAAGACCCACAGACAGAGGTGACTCCATACACAAAAACAACCAAACTCGGTTCTCTCTACTGTCCATAAAATACCCACAGAACACTCTGTACAGGGCACTCACCAATATTTGGATGTTTCAGAAGTCGGCATATCCGAGCCTCACGTTCTAGTTTTTGGTGATCTAAAAGCAGAAGAGAAAAAAACAAAAGTATTCAACCAACCATTATACTTGTGGTCACCTGGCTATTCATACTCCTTCAATTCTTAGATACCAACTATGCACTTCTGGCAATTTGCTGAATTAATGCAACAAGTTACAGCAATTCCAGAGACAGTTATTTCCAGATGAGGAAATGATTTGAGATATTAAAGACCTCAAGCTAGTGAGTAGCAGAGCTAGAATCTGAATCCAGATCTTCAGTTTAAACTCTGGTGCTCTTTTTTTTTT